GCAGGGATTTAGCTCAGTGGTTCCGCCGCCTGCCTCGAAAGCGCAAGGACCCAAGTTCGATCCCTGGTACCAAAAAAAAAAAAAATGGTGGGGGGAGCTGTTAATTGAAGCTATGTGAATAGACTGGATTCTGGGATGATGAAAAGTGATTATGCTAAAAGTAATCTTCTGTAATTAAACGGAAACTGTGCTATGCACTTTAATTAGTCAGCAGTAACTTGTTTTAACTGCAAACCATAAGTTTTGGTGTATCTCATTAAATGAGAGCCCAGCAGCCGCATCTCAGCTGTGGTTGTATTTCCCACCACAGCCATCTTTGTGCATCTACTGCTCTCATGAAACTGCAGGAAAGGAGAAAACACCTCTTGTAACACAGATACAAACATTATGAAAGTGCCCTCATTCTTTCATTCAGAAACTTGTAGTACACTGTAAATTTCAAAGACTCTCACTAGGGGAATGAATGTGCCTTGGGTAATTAGCCTCTTAAATCATCCAAAGAGTGTTAAGGAAAGTCAGTAAATATTATAAAATTCACCTGGTAGATTTTTCTTCATTTCTAATGCAGATGAGTTTAACCGGCATCTTTGAAAAGCTATTAAACAAATGAATGCTCTGAAATTTTCTCCAAACCCCTTAGTATCTAATAATATTCAGGTTTTGTGATATTGAAAACAATGGAAGATAATTTATTTTTCTTTTTTGTGATTTTAATCTTATTGTTTAATCATAAAAGTAAAGCATCCTCATAGAAAATTCATAAAGCACAAAAAGTATTGAGGAACACAAAAAACATCACCAATCTTCACTCAAAGACAGATCACTATTAACATGATAGCATATTTCCTCCTTTGATCTATTCATTGTTTTTGCATATTTGAGAAAATTCTGCTGGCATAATTTAATATTCTGCTAGAAAGATACACTTTAAAAGAAATATTACATTTTATTTCTAACTTTTGCCAGGATACCCAGTAGGCATTCCCTGTGCTTGCAGTATCTCAGACACATTGTCAAGTTGCCTACTGCAGTGAGCTTTTATTGAGGGGAAGTCTCTGCCAAAAGACAGAACCTATTTCTGTTGAATATTCTGGTGAATATTCTGGACCTAGTAAGTGAGGAAATCAAGACCTACTATTTATTTAGTAGCTTGGGATTAATCAAATAAGGCTGGCCTTTATTCTCCATCAGAAGGGTTCAAAGGGGAAGGTTAACTCAAAGTCAAGTTCATGATGTGTGAAGTCACAGGACCCAGAATTATAGAACTTGAGATTTGCAGGTAAAGAGTATAAATCTCAGCTCCAGACTCAGGTGTTAAGGAATACCCATTTGTGTGTCTTTGTGTGGGACTTTTTCTTTTTTGGTGGGGGTTGTTTTGTTTTGTTTAGAGAAGTGATAACAAGTATCTTACAGGTAACTTAGTCTGTGGTATAAAATCTGAAAGGGTTATGTAGTGCCAGAAAACAAGGACAGAGTCTCTACCTCTGTCATGGTGACTGACTGCCATCCAATCCCAAAGTGGTTCCTCAGAATACAGGTTTTACTTCTCTGCCATGTGGGGTCGGTGTGCAAGCCAGCCCTCTAGTGACTCCCTCAGTCATCTTCTGAGGTAAGGCCAGTGTACCCAGGAAATACCTAAAAGCTGATCCCACTAATCAGAACTCACCACCCACGAGCTCTTTCTCCACCTCTAGGGGTCAGGCCCTGTGAATCCTGATTTTGAACCATAGCCTCCAGGCTCAATATTCTTCTACAGTTGTGCTTGGCTCAGAGTAAGATCAGCTTTCCCTTATTCATAGCCAGCTGCCTTCCCAAGTCACTCCCAACCAATCCCAAAGCAGTTGTTCCAATTCTTCATAATCTAAGAACTCTAGAGGGAGCATTCCTCCTAAAATGTGTGCCCAGTGCCCTCACTTGAATCTGTTCATACATGCAGAGGTCCTCAACTTACAATAATTCAACTTATAACTTTTGGTCTTTACAATGGTCCTACAAAAGTGATACACATTCAGTAGAAATCATACTCTTTGATGATGATAAGTTAGGACACTCACAATGCTGGGCACTGAGCCACAGCTCCCCATCAGCCACATGAGCAAAAAGGTAAACAGCTGATTGTTCACAGAGTACTGAGCTGCTATGCTATGATGTTTGGTGGACTAGATGTCTTAATGCGTTTTCTACTTAGGATACTTTCAATTTAATGATGAGTTTATCAGGACATAACTGTATTGTAAGTCAAGAAGCATATGCAGTAGATTTGTAGATGAATTCAGTATACATGATGCTGGCCATTCCGGTGGTAGTTACCTTCCTGCTGCAGAAAGTCACAACTGATCCACTTCAAAACTTTGACCACTCCAGAAGATCTTTGGATCTAAGCAACATAAACCCTTCCTCTTCAAAACTCATTTGGATCTATTGAAAAAAAAAAACCAAAAACTTGTTTCTCTGGGAATAAGCCAGATAATAGAACATGTTCCTAAAGCCCTCTCTCTCCATTTTTTCTGTCTCCTAGTCAGACACAGAGTTTTGGGATAAGATGCAAGCAGAATGGGAAGAAATGGCCCGGAGAAACTGGATCTCTGAGAACCAAGAAGCCCAGAACCAAGTTACAATCTCAGCTAGTGAGAAGGTATCCAATTCTGTTTTTACATATGCTAACCTCTGCAGCTCATATTTTATAGATGAGTCAAAACTTTGTCAAGAATCTAAGACTTCAAGACAATTTAATGTCAGTCTGACCTAGGAAAAATTATGATAGATGGAAACAAGATAATCATCCAGTGTGTAAAGACAGCCAAGTTGGCTGGCAGCCACCTAGGACTTGGATGCTGACTGCCAGCTGGTTATGGAGCTAACATTTAGATGGATTGGACAAGAACTAGACAGATCCCACAGTTCTCTGTCAGCCAGTCTCTGTAGACAGCTGAGATGTCAGCAACAGAAGTGATACAAATGACAAGGGAGTGAACCAGGGCTTGGGGCAGTGATTCACAGGCAGTCATTATGCACAAGCAAAGAATCTCGGTGGAAAAAATGTGCTTTGCACAACCAGGTTAGATCCCAAGGGGATTCCTCAGAGCTACTGCCCTGGTAGCAGCCCCAGCAATGCACAAGTGCAGTGATCAAACAGCTGAATTATGTATGAAGGCCCAGCTGCTCTAGGATTTATGTCTTTAATGATATTCGGTTGGGGATGGAGGGACTACTTGAAAGGTAGAAAAGAGATATGGAAAAAATGTGTATGTGCTTATGTTGAATGTTTCGGGGGTAGAATAAGTCTCAATAATGTTCAGTTCTGGATAACTTCCATGATATTTTTTTCAGTGCAGCAAGTACTTATTGAACATCTACCCTACACTAGGAATAGAAATATGAGTCTGCTTTACCGGATTAGTAAACTATAATCATTAAAATGTCTTTCTCCTTCCAACATCTCTGTCCCTCATCAGAAATTCACAACTATCTTATTAAAAATTGCTTTCATTTGCACACACAAAAAACAAAGTATGCGAAGAAGAGAGAACTCTGCAGATCACTGGACACTGTGCATGGATTATAATCCAGGCACTGCAGGTCCGACTGAGGGAGGCCCTTAGCCCCTCACTCCTGGACCCCATTTCCACGGCACCATGGCATAATCTCATTGTGCCTTATAGCTTTTCTTTTTCTTTTCTTTTTTTATTGCCTTGTACCTGACTTTGGGCCATCAAGGAGGAGATTATTTCATCAGTCATTGTGTTTGCAGCCTCAGATCAGAACCATCAGATGATCATTTAAGGAATCTAGTTTTTTTTAATTGGTTCATATTAGTAATGTAGGCTGAGATTTGTTTTAGTATATTCATACATGCATATAACGTATTCTGATTATTTCCATCTCCATTAACCCCTTCTCTTTCCTCTCCCTTTTCCTTCTTCCCTTCCCCATATCTAAAAGTCTACCTTCTAATTTCCTATCATCTCTCATTTATCTACTTGTTTGTTTGCTTGCTTGTTTGTTTCTAGCTTGCTCATATAAGAGGAAACATGAGATGCTTAACTTTCTGAGTCTGGCTTATTCAACGTAACATGATGCTTTCCAGTTCCATTCACTTTCCTGCAAATGACATCATTTTGTTCTTCTTTGTAGCTGAATACTACTCCATTGTGTATATACACTGGATTTTCTTTTATTCATCAGTTGATGGACATCCAGGCTGTTAACACAGCTTAGCTATTGTGAACTGTGCAGATATAAACATGGCTATGCATGTATCACTTTAGTATGATGTCTATAATTTGTGGTAGAGCATACCCAGGAGTGGTTTTGCTGAATCAAATTGTATATATATATTTTAGGGGTTTTTGGTTTTTTTTACAAATCTCCATACTGACTTCCATTCCCAACAATAGTGTTGGAGAATTCCTTTTCCCCCACATCTTCACCAACAATCATTGTTTTCTGTATTGTTGATGATTGGCATTCTAACTGGGATGAGATGGAGTCTCAGTGTAATTTTGATTTGTATTTCCCTAATGGCTAAAGATATTAAACACTTTTTCACATACTTATTGACCATTTGTACTTCTTTTGAGAGTTCTTTGTTCAATTTATTTGCCCATTTATTGATTGAGCTATTTGGCTTTTTTGGTATTAAATTTTTGAGTTCTTTATATATCCGAGATATTAATCCTCTACGAGAAGAGTTGTTAGCGAAGATTTTTCTCCCATTTTATAGTTTGTCTCTTCACTCTCATTTCCTTTGTTGTACAGAAGCTTTTTAATTTGATGTAGTTCCATTTGTTGATTCTTGATATTTATTATTTCCAGTGCTATTGGTGTTCTATTCAGGAAGACTTTGCCTATGCCCAAGGTTTCAAGTGTTTCCCCTATATATTCTTCCACTAGTTTCAAAGTTTCTTATGTCTAGGTCTTTGATCCATTTTGATTTGATTTTAGTACAGGGTGAAATGTAGGGATCCAGTTTCAGTTTTCTGCATGTGGATATTTGTTTAAAAGGTTGTGTTTTTTCCAGCAAGGGTTTTGGACCCTCTGTTAAAACTCAGATAGTTCTAGGTGTATGGATTTATTTCTGTGTTTCTGTTTTATTCCATTGGTCTAATATGTCTCTTTTTTTGTCAGTACCATGTTGTTTTTGTTACTGTGCCTTTATGGTATAATTTCAGATCAGATATTACGCTGCCTTCAAAATTGGTCTTTGCACAAGACTGCTTTTGCTATTCTGGGTCTTTTCTGCTTCCATATGAATTTTAAAATTGTTTCTTTTTCTAGTTCTGTGAAGATGTTTTTGGTGACTTAATAGGGATCACACTGAATCTTACAACACTCTTAATAACATGGGCATTTTAGCAATATTTGTTTTGTTGATCCATGGGCAAGGGAGGTGTTTCCATTTTCTAATGTCTTCTTCAATTTCTTCAGTGTTTTGTAATTTTTATTATAATGTTCTTTTACTTTTTTAGTTAAATTGATTCCTGGGCAATTTTAAGCTATTATGAATGGAATTGGTTTCCCAATTTCTTTATTAGTAGGTTCATACTAGAACATGGGAAAGAGTTACTGATTTTTTTGTGTTAATTTTTTTAATTTTAACCCTGTAACTTTTGATGAAGGGTTTTGATATTTTAAGCACCCAGGGAAAAAGGGGCTTCCACTTGACCTATTTTTAAACCTTGATGACATAATCAGCGGGCTAACTTATTTGTACCTATCAAATCAGAGAGATTTTATGATAGCCTATGATAATAAAGTTCCAACAAATAATATTCTCAAGTACTGCAGATGAAAGTTTAAGTTGGGACAAAGATTTTGAAAAATTCAGCTATACATATCAAAGTCCTAAGAACAGTTTTCAGCCTTTACCCGAATAAATCCCTTTGAGTCCATACCAAGGTAATAAGCCAATGTAGACAAAGATTCAAGCATGAAGCTTTCATTTTACCTTTAGTAATGGTACTAAAAATTTCAAAATATGGCCCGGGGATTTAGCTCAGTGGTTCCGGTGCCAGCCTCGCAAGCGTAAGGTCCCGAGTTCGATCCCCGGTACAAAAAAAAAAAAATTTAAAATAACCTGAATGGCCATCTGTAGTGGAGTGGGTAAATAAATTTAACATATTTATATAAATAATTATAAGATAAAAATAATCACAATATAAAACTAAGTGTGACAACCCACAAGACTGCATACATAGGATGAGCCTACTTGTTTAATTTATATTCTCAGAAAAATAGTAGATTATTTTTACATTCTGTTTTGTTTAGATTTCTACAACTAAAAAACTATATCTTTAAAACATACATTTTCAGTAGGGGCCAAAAAAAATCTTAGATATTATTTGGCTTGTAGCTCTCCCTAGGGGCAAAGTACCTGAACAGATGCACAGTATATATTACTATTTCAGGGGACTGGGTGGTACATTTAGCAAAAATATATCTGAAGAGGGCCAGGGATTTAGCTCAGTGGTGCTGCTGCCTGCCTCACAAGGGCAACGTCCCAAGTTCAATCCCCAATACCGGAAAAAAAATCCCTCTCTCTCTCTCTCTCTCTCTCTCCATATATATATATATATATATATATATATATATATATATCTTCAGATATATATATATCTGAAGACTCACCATTTCATTAATCTTTAGGGGAAACAGTTAAAACAAAAAGGACAAAAGAAATATCAGAAATAAAATAAAATTTAAAATATTAGCAGCTGTGGTCATATTTAGGTTGGACATTAGAGAAACTTTGTTTCTTCTTATATTATCTAAAATTTATACAGTGAAAATGTATGTATTCATGAGGAAAAACAGCAGCTTAAATTTTACTTAAATTAAATTATTGAAATTTACAGAAATCTTACTGAATGTAATGAAGAGAAAAATTGATGGATTGTGTAATGGTGCTTCTCTGTGTTGTAGGGATATTACTTTCACACCGAAAACCCCTTTAAGGACTGGCCTGGAGCATTTGAAGAAGGCTTAAAAAGGCTGAAGGAAGGGGACCTGCCAGTCACCATCCTGTTCATGGAGGCAGCGATCCTTCAGGATCCTGGAGATGCAGAGGTACCATTTCCCCTTCACTTCAGCAGACTCAGAACACGGCTGCACATGCTAATGAGGGATGGGAAGTCACAGGGCTCTGGTGTGGGCATTTTCATCATGTACAGGTGCACAAAAGCTTAGTGTGACATTTGATTGAGGGCAACAAATAGGTACCTATTTTCTAACGAGGTTTCTGATCTGTAGTATCTACAGCACCCAAAGATAAAGGCTTGGGATAGGAAATCAAAAAATTGAAGCTGCCAACCTAAAACTCAAAGTAGTTTCCAGGGAGCAGTGTGTAGTTTTGCCTGGATCTCAGGTCACACTACACAGCACCTTTGATTTACTCACTTAACATTTACTGAGCACATACCATGTCCCAAAAATTGCACCAGCTTCTGTCTTAAGACACATAAAAGCTGGAAAAACATAACAGTTGAAAAGATAGCTTTATGGTCTATCTGGGGAGATGAGGAAATAAGGCAATGCAGTGCAATAAATGCCACGTCAGAGGATCCATGGACAGGATGCTAGGAGAGCAGAGGACAGGGATGCTAGCCTAGCCTCTCTGAATATGCGTATCCAGGGCTGAGTTTTGATGGAGAGAGAAAAAACAATAGGGAAGGGCTGGGGATTTAGCTCAGTGGTTCTGCCGCCTGCCTTGCAAGCATAAGGTCCCGAGTTCAATCCCCAGTGCCAAAAAAAAAAAAAACAATAGGGAAGTGGAGTTGTTTTTAAGAGGCAATGGTGTTGGGTAGGCAGAAGCCCTTGAAACATTGTGTAGAGGTCAAAGAGGGGAGAAGAATGGTAGAGGGGAAGCAAAAGGAGACAGGCAAGAGTTGAACTATATCAGAAAACCATAGGAAACCCTACAGAATTCTCTTTCCTTCACTCCGTGTGCGTGTGTGTGTGTGAGTGTGTGTATGATAAAAAGACGATACAGAACAGTGGTTAACCTTCTAGGCCCTGCTATTCTAACTGTACAGGTCCTAACTATATAGGCCCTGCCATCCCTGCCCTGGGACAACTTATTGAAGCCCTCTAAATTTCAGTTCCCTCTTCTACATATTGGAGGTCATAGTAGTCACTCTATCAGTACAGGTTGGAGGGATTAACTTATTCATTCAAATGAGGTGCTCAGATCAATACCCAGCATGTCAATGGTGAAACTTCATTTCTTATTATTGAATATACTTAGTTTGTATACAAAGAATAAGTAAATTGATCACCAGGGAAAGTCCTAATATCTTTTTTGGGCAAAAGGTTCTCAGTGAAGTGAGATTGAACTAAAAGCTGTAATTCTGAATCAAACTATTGTAATTTTTTAAAGATACATGAAATAATGTCATCTTGCATTTATAAATTATATGTATTTTACAAGATATTTTGTATATCTTAAATCATTCAACACAACCACCATGGGAAATATTTTTTTAAGTATATATCATTTTCCCAGATTTGTACATGAAAAAATTAAAGTCTATGGTAACCCAATAGACCCAGGCAAGGATTTATGTAGACTCCAAAGTAAAGATAATGATACTGTAGACAATGAAAATGGCACCATGGCCAAAGGATAGAAAAAAGCCCTTGGGAAAAGATGGTTTGATCAATCTCTTCTTAAGAAGTATTCTAAGATTCAGGAAAGGGAGAATCACCAATAATCTGGTGTACAAATAATCAGTATTTTATATGGTACATTTTATCTTGAAACTTCTTAATGTAAACTTTAGGCTATTTAACTACATTTCTGGGTTATTTTCCACCCATTTTTTTCACAATTGTATAAGTTTACATATTCATTTTTTGGTTTTAAGCTACCTAATATCATAAAATCTCAGAAATTCAGAGGTCTCCTAGCTCTAGATTATAGGAAAGGATAAAAATACTGAATGAGTTTGGAAATAGAGACAGCAAATCATGACCCAGATGTCACAAGACAGTTTGAACAAATGCATGTGGTATTTTTCACTTTTATGTGGCTGTTACATCTGATTTAGGTTGTGCTGCATAAGAGATCTGTCACGAGTAAACCAACAAAAGCACACGAGTAATTAGTTGGTTTTTTTTGCAGGCATGGCAGTTTCTTGGGATAACCCAGGCGGAAAATGAAAACGAACAAGCAGCCATTGTCGCCCTCCAGAGGTAGATGGCACTAAGTGCAAAATAATGGTCCTGATAGACTTGTCAATGGATTTCCCAAGTTTCAGATTTGCCTTTTGTCCTTTATTGAAGTACAGGGTAAAGAATTTGGCCAGGATAAGTATCAGGATGCCACATACCACTCACATTTAGTTCTGTAAAACAAGAACTTATGATAATGTCACGCTCCTAAATCACAATGTTTTGCTCTCTAGGGAGGTTACAGGTACTGAGCTTGCTATTTCAAGCCTTATCCAGGGGTTACTGGCATTGTCATCACCTAGTGGCCTGACAGACCTGAATGCCCCTGAGCCCCGCCCCAGGCTGCTATAATACCATGTGTATTTCACAAGATCCCCACATGATTCATACACTGTTTGAAGTGAGGAAAGTCCTGGATAAGTCTGGAATAGGATGAGGGGGAGCAGGGGTAACCAATGTTTTCAGTGAGCCCACATTAGTAGTGTGGAAACACAGGAATTTACCTCTTCCTTTACAAAACACTGTACAATCTTTCATCCCTGGATGCACAAATTTAGTTCAAATCCAACTGGGGGTGGGAGGGTAAGGTTATAAAGCATCATTAAATTATGATATCCCTTACTTCCCATTAGATTATTAACATTTTATGTGCTTGTACTTCCCATCATTGTAAACACATTTATTAAAATTATCAAAGCTGGCAGTCATTGGGATAAGTTTTAACTTTCTTAAAAAGGGAAAAAATGGAAACAAAGTCTTTGTAAATAGGGAAGGATGGAAGGAGTAAAGGAAGGGCAGGGGATGGGGAAAAAATAAGAACCAAGATACATCATGTAAAGGTACAAGATCCCAATGATAAATGTAACTGTACTGTATACCTAAAATGTACCAATAAAGTTAATGGAAAAATTAAACCTATGAAATTAAAAAACTCTTCAGTCCCAGTTTTCATATGAAGAAATATGATGTTTTTCAGAGACTTTAAAGAAACAAATTTAACAGTGCTTTTGCAACATTTAATTGATAAAGACTTCAATTTTCTAAGATACTGTTAGATGCTTGATCAAAAATATCTGAAATTATTCGTTTTGCCTTCTTTCAGGTGCTTAGAATTGCAGCCCAACAACTTGAAAGCTTTGATGGCTTTGGCTGTGAGTTATACAAACACTGGCCATCAGCAGGATGCCTGTGAAGCTCTGAAGAATTGGATTAAGCAAAACCCAAAGTACAAATACCTTGTGAAGAGCAAGAAGGGATCTCCAGGCCTCTCTCGGCGGATGTCTAAGTCCCCAGTTGACAGGTATCCTTCTTACTAAATAATGGCTGGCAGGAAACACAGTCACCTTGAGGATAATTAATGAGAACTTTACCACCCTTCACTCCAGAGTGGCTCTTAGGATATCATTCTGCTAGAAGAGCAGCAATGATTAGAAAGATTGATTCTGAGATCAGGGCTATCAGTTTCCATCACTTTGCAAAGTACCGTACCAGAGATAATTAACTTGTAAGGGGGGTTAGAGGTTTTAGTCTATGGCCAACTGGCCCTGATGCTCTGGGCATGAGGTGAAGCAGCACATCATAGTAGGAACATGTGGCCAGGGAAGTTCCTCTCGTCATAAAAGCCAGGAAGCAAAAAGAAAGAGAGAAGAAGGGACTAGGGCCCCAGTATCCTCTTCAAGGACATGTCTCCCGTAACCCAACTTCCTCCTGCCAGGCCTCACCTTCCAAAGGTTCCCCCAGCTCCCAGCAGTCCCAGAGACTAGTGACCAGGTCTTTAACATGTGGACTTTTTGGAGACACTTACCCAAACTAAAGCACTCATTATTTGGACACAGGATCTACTTTATATGCTTTCAGAGACACTTATCCAAGTATCATACCTTAAAGCCAAATATTTTAAACATCTCACCTAAAGTACAATAAGTACCATGTTTTATAAAACTTGAGAATTAGAAATGGGCACATAGAAATCTTTTCTTCTAGGAATTTTGGTTTTGTGTTTTGTTTGGCTATTGTTTGTTTGTTTGTTTGTTTGTTTGTTTGTTTTGGTGGTACTGGGGATTAAATGCAGGACCTTGTGCTTGCTAGGCAAGCACTCTAACACTGAGCTACATCCCAGCCCTTTTATGAAGGGTAGGGGGACTGAGTTTTTCAGACTGAGTGTTCAGACTCCAGAGTTAAGTTGTTCAGAATGGCTGCAAACTTGCAAAATCTTCCTGCCTCAGCCTCCTGAGTAGCTGACTTACAAGCATACACCACCACACCTGGAAGGAATTTTGCTTTTTATCAGTGGTAAATCCTGATTTAAATTCTTACTCACTAAGACCCTTGGAAAATTAGCTGTAGAGTTTCCCACATTGGCACTCACAGAGTAAGCAGAACTCTATGAAGACCTTACTTAGTACAACCCATATCTGTGTACAAGAACATATTTTGTAAAAATCAGCTATATTTTTAATGTTTCATATCAATAATCCCCTCATTAGACTAAGATATTTTTGGCAAAATTTTCCAGTTGTTAATGAAGACTTGAAAGAAAGTCCAAAGGGCTTTAGTTGTTAATTGTTTATGCCAAGACTATTTGGTTTATGAATCTTTTTTCTTGTGTAGCTCTGTTCTAGAAGGAGTGAAAGAATTATATCTGGAAGCTGCCCATCAAAACGGAGACATGATTGACCCAGACCTACAGACAGGTCTGGGGGTACTGTTCCACCTGAGTGGGGAATTTAACAGAGCAATAGATGCATTTAACGCTGCCTTAACTGTTCGGCCAGAGGTAAGAAAGCTTAGCACAGCAAGAGACCATAAGTTTATCTGTAGTTTTTACAGGCTATGCTCTATCCGTATCTTCTAGGATTTATCACTCATCCACTACCCTCAGTGTTTAAAGTGATCAGTAATGATATGCTGCAGTGGCTATTATACTGAGATACCTAAAGTAGAAACATTAACACATAACAGCATCAAATAGTAACTGCTCTTTGATCAAAAATACTGTCCTGAAGATGTCTGAGTAATTCACCTCAATGTGGTCTCCGTCCATGACACAATTTTAGCCATCTTCCTTCTTCTGCGGGGAAATATGGGAATGCTGGGTCACTGTGGTTTGTTCTGGTTGTTCGAAGGCTCTGGTTTTTATCATCAGGACTATTCATTATGGAACCGTCTTGGGGCGACCCTGGCAAATGGAGACCGCAGTGAGGAAGCTGTGGAGGCCTACACACGAGCGCTGGAGATCCAGCCAGGCTTCATCCGGTCCAGATACAACCTGGGGATTAGCTGTATCAACCTGGGCGCCTACAGGTAAAGCATCAACAGGCAGACTGGAGCCACGCTCAGGACTGAGGCTCAGGACTGAGGCTCGATAACCTGAGACAGTGTTTCCAAATAACTAGATCTCATTTTATAACCCTATTCCTCTTCCTACCATTAAGGGTAAGGTGGAACATTCAGGCCCGCAGCCTGTTCAAGTAACAACCATGTGCTTCTGTCAGTCTCAGTCTTTAGACAGCTGTGTGAATCTTAACCTTTTCAAAAATGAGGAACTGGGCCAGGGATTTAGCTCAGTGGTTCCACCGCCTGCCTCGCAAGCAAAAGGTCCCGAGTTCAATCCCCAGTACCAAAAAAAAAAAAAATGAGGACCCTTTTTAATGAAAGAAGAAACCCTTCCCTTTGGCAGTAATGCTTTTAGTATTCATATAATGAGAGAAAGCTACTATAAAGTAAATAATACTTTTAAATAAATGAGTTTTTTATTAAACATGATAATATACTCAAATTATTTGCAATTAGCTCTACATATATGTGTGAAACATTTGAAAACCAACTAGGTCTACACTACCTTCATGCAAAAACTTAGAGTGGCTTGATAATAAATTAGACTCTTCTGTTATTCTCCCAACCCATCTGAAACCACTGCCAGATACTAAGGGCTTCAAAAAGCTGATGAATGAGAGGATTCCAAGATTTACCTTTGCCAGAGTTCTTACCAGCCTAGGATTATGAGTGGAATCTGGGAGACATTTTCATTGGAGCTGCACCCTGTGAGGAGGGCCAGAAAGTGTCTCTAAGACAGACTTCCTGTGCCCATTGGTTTCCAAGGCCTCCTCTCCCAGAAGAGGGATGATTAGGATACCCACTCCATGTTCTCACCCAGGCTGCCATATGCAGCATCACCATCTCCCAACTACCTTTTATGTGCAGGCAGGTCTGACAAAATAGACAAGCACATGCCAGATCATATGCATCAGAATTAGAAAACCAGCCTCCCCTTCATGGTTTCTTCCCATATACTTAGTAACTACCTTGCAGGATTAAGTAAGTTCAAGTGTGAACAAGGTTTTGAGTAGAATAAAGCAGAGATAAATGAAAGTGACATGATTATTCCCAGCAAGAGTCAGCTTGTCAGATACATTACAAGGTCAGGGCGACACTGGGCTGCTGAAGAGGGCAGACCCAGCAGGAAGAGCTGGCAGCAAGTACAGGCATGGACTCCAAGGTCTTCAGACAGCGTCTAACCTGCTGTTCTCAAACCTGATGCTCTTTTGGTTGGCGATTACCAAGAATCCCAAAGGGGTGTGTGTATGTGGATTTTATCTATCAATATTTGCCACTTCAGAAATTGAACTTAGAAACACTTCAAAAGATTAATTTAAAAATAAAACTCATTACATGTTAACATAAATATCATTTTGCAAGAAAATAATTACTTTCCCAAACAAAACTATGCCTAGAGAGAAGAATGACATTGCTTTACACTTTTGCAAATTTCTTTTATACCTTGCTTACTAGAAGACAGGTTTTTGTATTAGCTTCTGCATTCAATCTGTCAAGATATTTCACATCATGTAATCTCTGGAAAATCCCACTCTATGAACATGAGAAAATGGAAGTGAAAAGTCAAATAACATCTCACTTTTACTGTGAAAATGGTTTTGACCTCACTGAACTCCAGGGTTCCCTGAGATCACACTTTGAGAACAATTGATCTTAATGATAAGAGCTTTGACTCAAGTGCACTTCATAGCAAAGTTTTTAAATGATTTCTGTTATCCCTATGACACACTCAGGGAAACTGACCCTTGAAAAAGATAGAAAATTTGCCTATGGCTCAGGATACAAACCTAGATACTCTGATAATAAATTCAACTCCTTCCTACCTACATTCTATGTATCTATCGCTAATAGGAAAAATTAGACAGCTGTGTTTCTGAATAGGGCCATATTTTTCCTCTTAAAATCTCATTATAGAAATCATACCTGCAAGTGGACTAAGTGTTCAAATCATTCCTAGAATAAGGGAAAATCAAATGCATTAATGGGTTAGCAATGGTTTTATTATTCTTCCTCTCCCATGTGGCATTAATAAAATATAATTTTCTTTTCTTTTGTCTCTCTGATTTCACTATACTTAATCATGATTGTTGACAAAAGAATAGAGAATCAGAAAGTTGTTCATCTGATCATCTAAAACATCATGGAGAAGTGATACACTGTCTTTTTTTAAGTTTGCTGGCTGTGAAATTTGTGGCACCTCAAAATGTCTGTTTTTCTCCCCTCTTAGAGAAGCGGTCAGCAATTTTCTCACTGCCCTCAGTTTGCAAAGAAAGAGCAGGAATCAACAGCAAGTTCCTCATCCTGCAATCTCTGGGAACATCTGGGCTGCCCTCAGAATTGCACTGTCACTGATGGACCAACCAGAACTCTTCCAGGCAGCTAATCTTGGTGACCTGGATGTCCTCCTAAGAGCTTTCAATTTGGATCCTTGAAGGAAAAGAAAAAATAAAGAATAATAACCTCCCTTTTGTGTTATTGTACTGAGAAGTGCAAAACTACTTTATTATGGATTTCAAAAAGGATAAATCAGATATTCAAAAGGCCATGATCACATAACCCAAGGGAATTAATTTCTACAAACAATGGCCAGTCTCTGTTCAGATCCAAAAGCACAAGTAGAGTCAAGGTCAGGTTCAAAAGAATTGGGAGATGCAAGACAAAACAAGAGAAAGTAATTGCGTGTACTCTTCCCAAGTTGCCAGTGTATTGCAAAACATATTCTTTGGGATTTTTGTTTCCAGTTGCAGCTAATAGCACATATGAGGAACTTGTTCATAGGACACATGAAGAAAGCACTGCTTCTGATCAGGGAATTCTGACTGTATCTATACTGTCCCCTGAAATTCTCCCTTTTGCAAGACTGAGCATAGTTTGGGCCATCGGTGCATGCACATATATTAACTCAAAGACAGGCAATGCTTACCCTGTTCCTGTTTTAACTTTTTCGGTAGCCCTTTGTTTCCAGAGAGGGAGCTCTGCTGGTAAAAGCAGTTTTTGCACTAGAAATTTTTGCTGTTCCCAAACAAAACTTTTCTGGGATTGTACATATGCACTTTAATATCTTATTTATGCCTTGCTGGGGTTTTGTTTTGTTGCTTCAATTTTTAACTTGGGGTAAAAGACTTGAGAACTCAGACTTGTTAGATCAATGGACCAAATAAAAAATTCCTGAAAAATAGTTTTTCATAGTGTAGGGTTTTGAAGGAGTGTTTTTCTTAAAGCAGACATGCTTTTTGGAACTGTATGAACATAAGAAACAAAATACTATGTGTTCGTGCATTCTCTGCAGGTAGAAACTTGATGAAACTGTGCTTTCTATTGAGTTTGCTTAAGTGTCATACTTTCCTGGCTTTCTAACTGCCCTGCACAATAATATTCTTTTTAAATTGTTACTATTTAAATGAGATTTCTTAAGAGTGATATATACAGTTTTTCCTTAAAATGATGTTTCCTTAGTTCCATAATAATCTACAGAGTTAACTTTCTTGTGAGTGACAGAAAATCAACATTTTTTTAACTGAAACTCACCAGGTGTTGGTGGGTTAACATGAAAGATGCATACTCCTTTGGCTCTTATTTTAAACATTTAGCAAGTAACAGGAATTTTCTATTGGCAATAGTACTTTATTTAACTTTCCACTTAGTTATTCAGTATTTTGTGTATATTTGGGGCTTGGTGATTATTTTGAAAGTATATTTTTCAAAGAATGAGAAAAACATGTTTGCAAAAGTCTAACCAAAATATCATTTTACCCAGGTCTGGTTCTAGTCAGTTGTTCTATTCTTCACCTTGTCTCCTTCCTTCTCTAGAACTTTCCCCCAAAGTAGTCTGGTCCCAATTTTTTATTCATGTTCTTTGGTTAGTAATAATAACTCATTCTACTCATGATTATAGTTACCAAAAAAGACAGAATTTGGATCAAAACAGTTTAATTGACTGGAGAATTCGCTCCCACTGAGGGGAAATGTGCACACAGCTGAGAGACTGGACTCCGACTGCAGGTACAAATCCACCCCTCTGCGACCTTGGATTTCCTGAGTTGTGAGGGGTCCTCAAGTTAACACGGAACCACAGGTTTGAAGCTTAGGTACACTACAGTCTATTCCAGTTTGTAACAATGAAGAGGTGAGGGCCCTGTGGTGAGCGTCAGGTTTTGGTAGTCCCTGTCAAAGCTCCTGTTGGCAGGATGATGGCTCCAACCCCGCAGCAAGAGACAGAGGCTTTAAGGCATTCATCTTTGGCAGGAGTAGCAATCCCTCTTGGCCTTCATTTCCCTGCAGTCTGAGCAGCAATGTGAAGATCAGTAGTATTTCCAAGAATGACATTTGTTCGAATTTTAGAAATTAGAAACTCATCTGGGAAGGCGTCTCAAGGCCAGCCTCCAGCCAATGGCACCTGCCTTCTGGAATATTCCTAATAGGCCCACATCCATTCCCTGCCTGCTGATCATCTCTGCATATCGATGACTGGCCAGATGACTTGGGTCCATCAGAGTCCATTAGGAGCCTCTGAACAAAGGATTCAAAGCCAACTTTGTGGGTGTTTTGTTCATGATGGCTTTCTACACTCAGGTCCAACTGAATTTGCAATGATAATGAGATACTGTGTTCTCACCTTGCTAGGGCTATATGCAGGAGATCAGTTAACAATTTAAAATTTTGAACTAGTGTAAATGTGGGGTAGCTTGGTTTAATTTGAGTGTTGCTAAGGAGTAGCAATTTTTGTGGTCCAAGTTTTATTTGGGTATTGGAATTCAAAGTAATCGCAAAGTCCACAGAGTTGCTTTAGGAGACAGCTGACAATTTCCCACTCTCACTTTACTTAGCAATTTATAGAGTGTTTAGTCGGACTTTTTGCACTATATCTGCTATTATCCATCAGAACTAAGATTTTAAGCCAGGTGTGGTGGCACACACCTGTCATCTGACCTAATCTGAGGCAGAAGGATCAAAAGTTTGAGGTGAGCCTTAGAAATTTAGTGAGACTGTCTCAAAATAAAAAATTTTTTAAAGAGCTGAGAAGTAACTCAGTGGTAGAATGCTTGTTAGCAATTGCAAGGACCTGGATTCAAACTCTAGTACCAAACAAAGCTATGGTAATAACTAAGATTTTTTTAAGGCTATTTTCTGTTGGGAAGTCCAAAATTACTAAGAAGAGCTGTCGGGCCGGGGATTTAGCTCAGTGGTGCCACCACCTGCCTCGCAAGCGCAAGGTCCCGAGTTCAATCCCTGGTACCAAAAAAAAATAAAATAAAAGAAGAGTTGCAATTTTAAGTGAAAATCATTAGTAAAAATTGAGTGGAAGTTTATAAATACAGACCAGCACCAAAAATCAAGTGGCAAATTATAGAATATTCTTTAGGGCATATACTTTTTTAAAATGTATTCACTTTTGTTTGAGACAGAAGTGCATTTAAAATCTTCATGGCAGGAAATTGTCATTTAAATTACTCTTCCATTTAAAAGAATAGTTGGTCCTCTTCTGAGACTTTCTCTAGGAAGACTTTGAGTACTGTATCTTTTTTTTCTTGTATCAATGAGTAACAGCCTACCAACTCTTGTAGCATGGTACTCATTTTACTAGAATACCTGGTCAATTACACACAGGTGACATTTACAGACTGATTTTGCCAGCAAATTGGATGAAAATGCACACAAAGCCACAGATCACTGCTGAGTTCCAAAATATAACTATTTGCCATAAGTATCCTTAGGCACTACTGTACCTCAACAGTGAGAGGAGACGGAGAGATGGGGAAGAGGAGGAAGAGCAAAGGGTCCTCTTACTGGGCAAGTCTCAGTGATTCAGCACCTCTTCACCTTCTCCCAAGATCATTACCCATGACTCCTGAAAGAAAGGTAGATCTTATCTATGAGGAAACTTTAATAAGAGAACTATGGGGTGCAGTTTCTTAGCTAATCTGGATTTCTACCAGAGTGGTGAATAAATGATACAGAATAGCATGTGAGTGATGGCTAGGAATGTCCAGGACACACACACTTTTAGTTTAATGACACTTTCTTTTATATTAAGACACTTTTGATGTTGAATCTTGGGCCCATATCTAAATTCCTGTCTAGATTAAATCTTGCTGGTATATTCTTGCCATACAAGCAAGATTTGAACACAGTTGTAACTAGTCCAACTTAGGCCTCCCAAACTCCTTGCAATCAACTTTATCTGTGAGCTCCTTGGGAATATAGAAAAAGCAAGATGGTCATTTTATGTCTCTTCCTTATTTATTCTTGAATCAGTTCCACAAGGCTAGATTGTACTTTTAGTGCTTGAAGTAATGGTATTTTTATACTTTGAAGATTCCTAGAAGCATTTTAGAAACAGGGTGTTCTAAAGGCTTAATTCATGTCCTATCTTTTTGAGCCCTCTTATAAATTATTACACAGCAACCCACATGATTTCCACTTTGTAAAACAATTTCAAATTCATTTCCTGTCTAGATTTTACTGCACTATTTCTCTCTCATCTCAGTATTTATAGAACTGGTTGAAATTAAACTGTTTTGAAATAAGAAGTAGATACAAATATATTTTTAAAGAGTGTTCATAGATGAACTCTGGGATAAAGTTTGTAAGCAGGCAATTTTTTAAAGGAAAACATATAACCTCAGGTACAAAAATATTGCATGCATTAGTACTTACAATTCTGCCTACTCAAATATTAACCAAAGCATGCAAGATAACTTTACTGAATGTAAACTTACACAGTGCATGATTGAGTCTCACAGGTTAGTTTATTTTTCCTTGCTTCTGAACAAGGGAGAATTTTCATGAACTCCATGTTCAGTTTTGCTACTTGCTTTTATTATGTTATTCTTAAGATTGTTTTCATGCTATCACACTGAATTTGACAGATATTCACACTTCTGATTTGTGCAATGTTGCAGACAGTGCCAAACTAATCCTCTAAAGACTCTAGGTATAGACATCCAAATGCTTCTCTTAAAAACCAACTGAGTCACAACCAATCCAAACCGAAAGAGACCTATGTGTCTGAATGCTACTAAATTAAATCATGATCATAAAAATTTGGGTTCTAAATTCTTAATAATACATTTTACAATTTTCCTAAGGTCTAGGAATACCTTTTTAAAAACTGGTTTCCTACCAGACACAAGGAAATCATAAGACAAATTTAATTTGCCTTAATTTTCATAAATGTCACCTAGGGATGACACAATGTCACATGGGCTATGTAGGTTATCATAGCATTGCTCTGATACAATTTTGTCTGTATGGCAGGTGAGCTACCCAGGTCCTGGTCCCTTGAGAAACTAGATTTAATCAATATGACTAAAGACTGAAATTTAGGAGTGCTAAGATTATTTCATAGCCTCAACACTGAAATTGTCTTACTGATTTTTCTGTAACCCCTATTCTATAAGGAGACCAGAAATGGAGAGAAAAAAGCTCAGTGAAACATTGGGGTGTAATGTTGGTAATGGCTTCATTATCCACTTCATATACCCCTGCATCACATACACGCGCGTGCGCATACACACACACTGTAAGCTCAAATATCAAACTCCTGCAACACATCAAAAAGCCTTGTGTGGAGGCATTAAATGCTTAAGAGGAGAAAAAAATAGAAATGTGATGCTTAACAACCTCTCCTGCAGCATTTTACCTTGCACAGTTTCCACTACCTGCAACCTCTGCAGAAATACCAAAATAACACACTCTGCTAGCAAGCCAGTGCTCTGATCTAAGAACAGCTTCCTCAGGAACTTCTCTAGAGAAGACAAACTTGTGGTTTTGCAGACTGTGATTCAGTGGGATGCTTTTAGAAAAACTGCAGTGAAAACAACAGAAAGATGAAAAAAGGGGACAGTGAAACCACTCTTTGCTCAACAATAAAATGTGTGTTGTTTGGTTTTGGTGTTAGTTTTTCTTTGAATTTCTTGGAGACACAAACAATATGACACAAAAAAAAAGACTAAGGGATATTCACACTCAACTAGGTAATTTGAGCATCTGACATTTTCAATGAGACCTGTATTATTTTTGCGTGGATATCATGAAAGGATTGTGCCATGTGAGAAATGTGTTCATGGTGACTAGTGAAAGAAAATACAGCAAACTGAAATTTTTACCAACTTCCTTTAGTTTGTCATATATCATCAGACCCAAACTCTCAATTTTCATTTCTCAAATTTGTTTACATCTGTTGAAAAGAACCTAATTAATTTAGTAAACTTTTTTACAAAATAAATATTTATTAACTATTTAGAAGAGACATTTCTATATATTTTGTATATCTATGAATATTGCATACCTAATCTAAAAATATTGTTTTAACACAAATTCTGTGATACTTCCTCATCATGCTCAATAATGTTTCAAATCTTAAGATTTCATTTTCAAGCTGAAATAAGTAACACAAAAAATTAATTGCTTTACTGAGTTTCTAAATTATTATCAACTGAAATTAAGTGATCTATAGTAAATTAATAGCAAAGAGAGATTTAAAGTTACTGGCATACTATGTGATACTATATCTGTAATTTAGTGAAATAGTATGTATCATAGCACAAGTCTATTGGTTATTATGGCTTCATCTTAGTCTTCCTCTGCATTGCTTTTTGAAATAAAATTACTACTCTAAAAATAATCTCTTATCATACTGGATGTGTTTGTTCTACCCAGATGGCTTAAAATTTGCAAAGTACCAAGATTAAGGTAGTATTTTTATATTATTATTGGAAGCATGCCTTCCCTTTTACACATTATTAAATTATATTTATATTTGTGCAGTTTTAAACTATGTTCTCAAATAAACTTTGTCTGTGGCTTCAAGGTCTTTTTGGGTATCTTTCAAAATGGGATTTGAGGATTTGAACAGCTTCAAATCAAATAGAATCCAATTTATACTACTGGTTAAAAAAGGTCCTTTTGTTGAATATCACTGCATACGATTTTGCATGAATTATCTGGAAATCACGAATGCATTTTTAGATACATAAAAAACTTCAAAACCTTCTTCCTTTGTGAATTTTTAATACTAAAATATTATTTAACCTGAAATGAAATTTGTGATCTTTTTAGAATAAAACTATTAAAAATTTATTTCACTTCAGGGTCTTTCTTGCGGGGGAGAACAGCCATTCAAGAAATACTTGAGCAACAACTATTTGGCAGGGACTAATCTAGATGTGGGACACAGTGATAAAGGAAATCAAACTTAAGCTTGAAAAATACAGACTTCTGTGGGAAGAGACTGCAAACCCTTCAACAAATAAGAATGCACTGCGCTGCAAAACGGTAGACCAGGGCGAGTAAAGCATTGAGAGTGAGTGGGGCTCCTTTTTCAGTGATCAGAAAAGGTTTCTGTTCGGTGACATTTTGGCTGAGAGTTGAATGAGAATCCAGGCAAATGGAATTGGAGCAAACACTCCTGGCAGAGCCGAGAGCTACTTCAAGATGCCGAGGGAGGAAGGAGCTTAGGGCACGGAGGAGAAGAAAGGAGACTGCGTGGCAAGGGCTGCCAGCAGGGAGACCTGGGCAGGTGTACGGTGGGGCGGGGGGTATAAGGAGCGTCCACAGAGCCAGGTAAAGGGCCGAGTTAGTCGCCCTCGAGCAGAGGAGGGATGGCATTCAGGCTGAAGTTTCTTTTTCCAAACGCTTAAGTCAGGTTAGCGAGGGAGAGATCGCTAACAGCCTCTGATGAGAACAGCTAGAGGGAGGGACCGAAGCCTACCCTTCTTACTGTTCCCCGTCTGCTCTGTTGATCTCGGCCACACCTAACCTTGGTGGCACTTCCTTATTCCCTCTACAAAATCAAGCTGCACGTTCTTGCTTCCTGCCTCAATGCTGTGCTGTATAAGTATAAACCTATCTATCTAGTAGTACATTGAGGCCTTTCCTCAAGCGAACTCAAACTCCAAGATAACTTAAACCTTATGTCTCCTTCTTCCACTTTTAAAATATGAATTATATTAATTTCCTGAAATTGCTGCATCTCTCCATGTGTGTGTGTACAAGCAGCCCAAGGTTTGAAGAGTTCTTTCTTGTTTTGTTTTGTTTTTACAAGGGTCCTTAAAGTAATACACACTTTAAGGCAAAAAAAAAAAAAAAGGCTTTTTTAAAATTCATATCCCATAATAAGTAATGTCGCCTGTTGCCTGCTATCTTCCCCCACCTCATGCTGGAGATTGAATCCAGGGCCTCACACATGCTAAGCAAGTGCTCTACCACTGAAGCACACCCTCAGTCCACCTGGTAATCATATTAATGCACCAGAATTTTGAGAACTTATGGCTAATTTTAGTATTTTTCCCTGTTGAACAAAATGATAGGTAGATGCCAGGCTTCTCAGTACAAGTTCTTCACTTTATTTATACTTTGGGCTTCTCATGAGAGAAACCACTGATATTTAAGCTTGTGCGTCTGATTTATTTCACTTAACATGATCTCACAGCACAAGTTCTTTGAAAGAAAAACAGAAGGGAAGCTAACATGTACTGAAATCTATCATGTGCCAGATTCCTAGGCTAGATGTTTCTACTCTGCCATTTAACCCAAGTAGGTACCCATATCCCATGCTTTTGCTTTCCAGTTAATTTTACCTGGTCCACAGTTAACATTACTGCAAATGATGAACATAATAACAAAAACTGTTAAAAAATAAAAGTATCTCCTAGATTAAAAGCTCACTAAATATTACATCTAATACTAAAAACTCCATATGCTGACTCAAGAAAAAGCAAACTTGAGAGAAACTGCCAAGATAATAACAGCTAAGAAAAGAACAAAATCTTCCTGACAAAAGTTAGCTTTGCAAAACTTAACCTGGTAAAGCTAGGTCCCATGAAAGCCATAGCTGCAAAATAAAATTTACAATAGCAAAAAATACAATATGGAAAATTCAACAATGGTCCCAAACTGATGACTCTGACTACCCTCATTTAATTTTCAGATAATTTTTTTTGGTTTTGGTTTTTGTTTTTTGGAGTTGTTTGTTTGATACCAGGGATTGAACTCAGTACTTCACACTTGCAAGGCAGGTGCTGTGCCGCTAAGCTAAATCCTCAGCCCTATTTTCAGATAATTTTAACTGACACTAGTAAAACTAATTTCATTAAAATTGAAAGAAAACTATAAAAGAATAAAAGTAGTTCAACTGAATACTATTTCACACCTCCTCCTCTCTCTTCAAATCTCCAACCTTTGTCATCCTTTCTCAGCTGACGATCTTGCTTCCTCTGTCACTGAGAAAATTAAAGCAGGCAGGAGAAGACTCCCAGATGCCCAGCTGTCTTGGTCTCTGGCTTCCTCTCCTTTCCAGCCCCTGATGAAATCAACTCCCCACTTTGGCAACAGTACCATCCCCTCGCCTGTTCAAAGACATCAGACCAGTAATCCTTCCATTTGCTTTCTTACAGTCGAAAACAAGTCTTCTCTTGACCTGAACAAACTCCCCTGTCAGCTATCATGCAGTTCTTTGCTCTGTAGCAAATAAAAAAGAAAAAAATGGAGAGGATTTCCTATGTTCACCATCTGCAATTCCTCTCCTTCTATTCTCTCTTCAACCCTCTCACTCTTCCTCCAAAGTTTTTCATGAGTGACCTCCAAGTTGACCAATCTCGTGCTTAATTCTTAGTCCTCATCTTATTTAACCTATCAATTACTTCACAGTTGTCACCCTCACCTCCTCATGACACTTCCTTTATCTGACTTCCACCGCAGGTACCATTCTCTTGGTTTTCCTCCACGTTGGCAGTTACTCCTCTTGGTCTCCTTTACTGCATGGTCTTCTACCTGGCTCCTTATACTAAAGTGATCCAGGACTCAGTATCTCACCCTCTCCAATTTCCCATCTCCCCACATTGGTGATTGTATCCAGGCCCACTGCTTCAACTGTCATCCAAATGCCAACTTTTAAATTTCTATCTTCAGTCTTCCAAAATCCAGTGTTGTGTAACCATCTTCCTAGACAAAATCAACTAGGGAAGTCTAATAGGCATTTCAAACTCAATGCATCCCAAATTTAACTCCTCATCATCTTTTTCCTCTTGCATCCCAACCCTGTCAAGCCTTCCCTGTGTTAGTTGATTGCAACAGCATTCTTCAGTTGCTCAGGACAAAAACTTTGCAGTCAGCCTCAGCTACTCTCATGCACTCATACCCCAAGTCCTATGCATTGGGAAGTCCTGCTGACCTTACCTTCAAATGTATCCCGAATCTGACCATCCTCCCTCCACGGCTCCCACCCCATCTAAGCCATCATCCTCTAACCCCACTTACCACAGTAACCCCTACTTCTATCCTTGCCCTCCTATCACCTGAGTTAAACAAAGAACAATACTAAACCTTCAATCAAAACCTTATGATGTTCCCCAGTGCACTCTACAGTCCAACCCTTCTAATTGGCTTCCTTGGGCCCAGGAGAGCTGGTCCCCTTTGACTTCCTGTCTCACCATTCTCTCTCCCTTGCCTCCTCCTCTCCAGTCATGCTGTTCCCTTTGCTGCTCATCTGACAAACCAGATATCCTGCCACTGTGGGGCCTCTGAACCAGCCTGTGCCAACCCCATTCTTTCTCCAAACATCTACCTGGTGACACCATTTTCTTCAAGTCTTGGTTCAAACTGCACCTCCAAATGATGCCTTTCCCAGGTACCTTATTTACACTGTAATCTGCTCCCAGCCCTTGCTCTGTTTCCTTTGCTCCTCTGTGCTTAATCTATTTTAACATCTTATATAATTACTTATTTTTTATGTTTTGTATTTGTTTCTCCCTGCTAGAAAATAAACTCAGCAAGGCCAGACTTTATTAAGACACACATTTTAAGAAAAGCAATGCACAGCACACAGTAGGTATTTACTATTTATTGAATGGTGAACCTTATAAAGTAGACTAACAAATCAACTGACTTAATAAAATAATCTGCAGAAAAGTACTTTTGAAAAAGTTACTAATGTTGGAAAAGGCAAGAATGGATTACTCCTAGTCTTCCTACGGACACCTTAATTTTAACCCCACAAGACTGGTTTTCAGACTTCTAACCTAATAAATGTACTGTTTTAAGTCACTATGTTTGTGGTACTTTGTCATATCCACAACAGGAAACTTATACATCCTGGAAATGTGGTGTCATGGAAATGCGGAAGTCTCTCGATATAGTGGATGTCCCTTCTTCATTTACCAGCATTGAAGAGGCCACCACCCAACTGAGAGCCAGGGAACCACAGAAAGGTCTCCATTTACTCCCTGTGTGACTTGAAATCCAGCAGGGAAGGACTAAATCACACTCCTCTGACCCACCCCTCTCCCCTTCACAGAGTAATAAGCAGCCATTGTCAATGTCTCCTGCAATGGGGACCAAGCAGCTGCCCCAAGAAATCCTAGGAACAGATAAAAATCAGTCATTGTGTCAAGGTATACTTGTTCCCCTGATGGATGAGAACTATCTGTGGCAGAATCAGTTTATGCGGCTTTTCTTAAAAAGTAGGAAAAAAAGAGCCATCAAGGGACTTCAGATTGTGAGAATAGCTTTTAATTTAAAACAATCAAAGCAATAAATCATCCATCTCTCTTTCCATCACAGGCAAATATTCTCTCAAAACATTTGAGAGAATTTAAACAATTAACTGTGACTAGTGCAAAATAAAATAAATAAAAACTCTTTCAGGAACCAACATCAAAACCTGCTGGGCAGGGGGCACAGGCCACTGGCTCGGCTTCTGCTGAGACAAAGAACATGGAGAACAGCAGGATTTGCACAGCATTTAACACACCCAGCTTTGAACAGACAAAACAATACCTGGGGAGGGGAAACCTCAAGAGAATGTTGCCCAACATGAGACCAATACACCCACCACAATCATGTGGCTAGCATCCTTGGCACCTGGAAGATACTAGAAAAGTGCACACCAAGGTAGCAAATAGCTCCTAGGCAGTTGGGGGCCCACTTGCTTTTGTTTTTTAATTGGGGAGATATGTATAATATATTTGATGTTAGGCAGAAAAATTTTCTGTTTTATGGGGGGTGTTCTGTTCCTCACAATGCACCTGACTCCAGCAAAAATATCTGTGATGTTTTCATCTATCTGGATGCTTCACAGAAATTATCTTCCCACATATGGTATTTTGCTGCCTACCTTACACCAAGTCTAGTGCAGCACTGTCTAATACAAGTACAGCATTAGCCACATATCTAATTTAAATTTTTCAGTAGCACATTAAAAACAGATTAAAAGTGGTAACATATAATATTTATGAAAATATTATTCTATTTAATCAATAGATCCAACATATTATTTGTAATCAATCTAAATTATTGATGAGATATGTATACTCTTTCTGATATGCATTTCCTGGTATGTATATTCAAAATGTGTGCATTGTATGTGAACAGCACAATCTCAGTTTGGACAGGCCACATGCCAAGTGGTCATTTTGTCACATGTGGTTACTGATTATCACACCGACTGACAGAGGTCTACAGAATCTAATGCAAACTCTGCCCGGACAATTTGCTGAGCAGGAAATCTCCATGACACCAGATAGGCAATCTTACACACCAACTGAAGAGTACAGAATCTTTTTCTGTCACCTAGGATTTTCTGTCTAGAGGGCAGAATCACATTTTCATCTAATCCCATCCTCTGGCCGGTCCCACCCTCTGCAATCTCTCCACAGAACCCTGGACTGGCGATGAGATTTAGCAAAACTGATGTCCACATGATGACAGAGACATCTTCGCTGGGAGAGAGCAGCTGCCAGCACTTATTAGGGGATCAGAGCTATCTATGAGTGAATCTGGATTTTCAGATATTCAACAATTTTACAGATTTAGCTGAAGCTTTCCAAGAAAGTATTTGAAGTGGATCTTTGTTTTTGAGAGAGATAGCAGCAAACTACTTCACAGACTGGAAAATTGTGAGGTTCAAGAATAGAGAAGACTAGGATGATTATTGAAGAAAGTAAAGATAAATGGAACAAGAAATAGAAACGGCGTGGGATACTAAAAATGACACAGTTCTTACACTGAGGTGTATAAGTTGTAGCATCTCCGCCTCTAAATGATCCCCGTATCTCATATGTCTGCTTCTGGTAGTAACCACGGGAAAATAAAAATAGAATGAGATCTGAGGACAAGGAAGGGACTTCTGAGGTCATTTGCTCTAACTCAGTCATTTTAAAGAAAGGGTCTCAGAAAAGTACAGTAACTCAGCCCCACCACACTTAGAGTCAGACTACAAATCCAGGGGCTCTCACTGGGGGCCACAGGTAAGGAAATAAAATAAAAGGGAAAGGGAAAGGAAATAAAAGACACAGGGAGCCCAAAATGAGCAATAGGGAAATAGCAGGCACATTCTCTTGGAGGTTCTAGAAAAGAGGCTAGTCAATTCCAAAATTCTGATACAAAATGATGTAAATGTCACTAAAACATGAGGTTTTCCAATCATCTTTTCTATGTACTTTTCTGTCCTTTTAAAAGAAAAATACAAATCTGAACAAAAGAGGGTTTGGGATTAGTTATCTGGGCATTTAGATCAATTGACAAAATTAAAACTTTGATACATTACATTTTCCAAAGACACATTCATTGGGATTGTACACAGATGGATATCAAAGATATTTACAAGAAGAAAGCGCTGTCTTTCACACAGACACCTAGGGACAGTGAGGATTTCACAACTGCACCACCATGCCTCACACTGAGGATTCCTAACAGGCTGATTAGCTGACACAATCCACACATTATTCCAGTTCTCTGTCACAAATAATTTGAGCTACACACAAAGGTGTAACATTAAGCAGTACATCTCCTTGTTATTCCAGGGAAACCTGCTTTGTGTATATTAAGAGACACATATAAATACATCTTTACACAAGACAGAAACTCATTGTTTGCTCCAGTTTTTCCCAACTGTCAATATGAAATAAAGAGTAGCACATATACAAAACCTTGCCTTGTAGAAATAGCCCTTTGTTTTGTTAGGCAGAAAAAAAGGCAGCCATAGTACACTTTCTTACAATATGTTTAGGCATCAAAAGGGCTAACTTCCTTCTTCTACACAGGGAAATGAAATAGTTTACAGCCTATCATCTTAAAGGCGGATTTTACTCTATTGATTTTGCAAAGTTTTATTATAAAATTTTCTTTTTGTTCAAAATACACATGCTATCTTTGTCCACATTTCAATATAAATTCCCAATTATTCTCCGCCCCCCCCAAAAAAAGGCGTTTGTTTGCAACATCATTGAAAACAAGCCATTTGTGATGCGTGTTTGGAAGGACACTCAGCCCTAAGAGGATGGGATTTGTAAGGCTGCTTAGCATGGGGATTTTCACGGGAGCTGGGGACTTGTATAACAGAGTAGGACTGCTTTGGGATGTAAGTCAACACTAGAAGGCCACACCAGTGGGCACAGTGTAGTAGAAAGTTACTGCACCATGAGCTCCTTCCTTCTGCCAGTCTCATTTGTTCCCAAATTGAAGAAAACATCAGATGAGAGAAGGCAGGGAGCAGACTCTACTAGGACCCACCCTGGCACCCACCTTCCTCTTGGGAAAGACTCATCCTGTCAGATCTCCCCACGACCTCAAAGCATGACTGGAAAGAGAAGGCAGGTGTCATCACACCACTGTGCAGATGAGAACAGTGAGGGACTTGCCCAAGGTCCACAGCCAGTTAGGGGCAGCACCCAGGTCTCCAGGCCACGAGATCTCCAGCCTCGTCCCTCACTCACATGGCATAAGTGACTTCCTATGAGACAAGGGCCCGATCACAACCAGAATCCTGATTGTCCTGAACTTACTACATCCTAATTCATTTTATTCAATTGGTTCTGCTTTATTCTCCTACAGTTTCTTGTTAGGCAGGCAGCAATAAATCCTTTTTCATTTGACTGAATTATCTGAAACAGAAACTTCAGAGACTCTGGAATTTGGTGCAAAGCAGTACAAAATTATAGAATGCTGTCATTTCATTTTGTATCATATTTGAAACTCTGATCTAATCCCACGTTGTGACTAAAATACCAAAATAACCAAAATGAAAAGGATGGCCTTTGAAGGTGTCATATGAAGTTTCTTTGCATCTGAAATCCCTATGGTGCCCAAGACCAAAATGTTGGTGACAGCAAATAAGCACTAAGGGCAAGTCACAAGGTGACAAAACAAAAAGGCCAGAGAGGAGACCGGCCCCAGAAAAACATGGAAACGGAGACAGGCCAAGGGCTCAGAGATGAGAAAATGAGAGACAAATATGGGTCATTTAATGTGATTCCAGGGAGCTACCATGTGCTGTGATGAGAAGTTGCTGTTCTAACTAAAAATAACCACTGTACGTTTTAGGGAAGGGCTGTTGAGAAAGACAGAATCCATCCATCTACCTTTGGAAAAGTACAACCCTGCACGGCTGTGGGCATCTGGTGTTCTACCATCAGATGTCACAGACCCAGGGGAATTCTTGACAGCATTTAAACCACACCACTCAGCCCTTTTCACTCCTTAAAATCTAAGTGGGGAATTAATTTTTTAAACTGTTCCTGAGTTATAGTTCTTTTAATATACTTACTTGCTTTTTCCAGGTCTGCTTAATACCAACTCTTTATCCTTTAAAAACCAACCATCATAGATTTTCTATTGGACTATAAAGGTCACACACTCTCACTTATTCTCATACACATTCACACAACTGTATTATGAATTCTGATATGATTTAAATTAAAAATAGCTTTCAATACAGATGTTCTATTATACAGGAGTAGGCCAGAAATTGTTGTGCATAATGAAAAAAGAAACTATGCCACAGATAAAGCCCAGCTCAGCTGCTGATTTTCTATATGAAACAAAAGTGGGCTTTTTGTTTATTGTAGTTGAGGCCACACTACTGGCCACATTGACTGACCTCTCTGGAGGCCACTACCACTGGCCCCCAAAGCAAAAGAGAGGGTTGGGGGCACATCCCCATTTTTGAGATGCTGATGGTAGATGCCACACCAGCAATATGGATAGCTTCATTTATATCACCCTCTTCTTGGACATTTATAAAACTATCTACAATAGAGTATCACCACTAATAGAAATTTCTTCCCAGTTCTGTTTCAGAAGGTGTCAAATGATCGTACTCTTTAAATAAACTATAAATACCCCATGTACTTCTTCATATCTGGCTGTTCCAACTTTTTTCTTTTTATTTTTTTCTTATTTTTTTTCTCTTTCTTTTTTTTTTTGGCAAATTAAAAAGGCATATGGCTTCTTCTCGCCAAACTGCAGGTCTGAGCTTTAGCTTGGTATTCTGCGGTAAAAGTACATGTAGCCCAGGTCTTTAGGAGCCCGTTCTGAGGCACAGACTTTGTGGTCATTGTAGATCACCCATCTGAAAATAAAAGACAGAAGCATCTGAAGGATTTATATCAGTTCCAGGATACTTTGGAGAACTGCATCATATGGAGCACAATACTTAAAGTAACCAAAATGTTTTAAGATAACCAAATTCCAGCTTGCTGTATAAAAAAAAAAAACAGAATGCCTGTGGGGAATCACCATGCTTTTCCATTCTTGAGCTCATTCAAAAAGTAGTTACTAAAAAATCTTTGAGAATTCTCTAAACATTTTAAATTCTTCAGCCCATAATTCTCATAGACGGCCTCAGAAACCAAGTCAAAGAATTGTGTACAACAACATTTACTTCACCCTTAGGCATAAAACTAACTAAAAAAAAAACCAGTAAACATTTATGCAGTCAACTATTACATAATTATCAAAATTTCTTCAAAGACTGATGAAGTGAGGAAAACAAGCACAATATAATATGAAGGTATAATATGAATCACAATATGAAAAATGGCTTCAAAAATTGCATGTCTTCTGGACATATGTTAAGATTCTAGGAAAGCTGCAAAGACAAATAGAGTATGTGTACACAGAGACATATATATACCTCTTCCAATGAAACCAATAAAACAAAGAAAAATATGTCAAAATATAGACAATGGTTATCTTTAGACTTTCAGTATACAAATTCTTCACATTTTTGTGTTTTACAAATTTGCTACAACATATTTTATTGCTTTATATATTTATAACTAAGCTATTTTTTCTTTTTAAAGAACTGTCGCACTTGGTGATAAAAAGAATACATTTTAAATAAAGTCCCTGTGCTCAATGATTTGATTCATCCAGTTAAGACGATAAAACTAAAAGACACCAGACACAGAACACAATTGAGTCTAAGTGGGAGCAGACAAGTCCTGCAGTGGGAGTTGTGGCTGAGAGGCCAGCACCCTAGCAGCAAGGCCAAGGTTTAATACTGCACCAGTGTCTATGCAGCCTGACCACTACCCTCAGCATGAGCACCCACCCACAGCCCACAGGAAAGAGCCGTAGGAAGGACACTGAGGGAGAAAGTTCAAGAGAAAGCAGCCTTCCATTCTGTAACCGCCTCATTCCCACCTTCACCACACACCTAAGAACTCTGCAAAGAAGCCAAGAAACCAACTGCAGGGCCATATTAAGCATTGAAAGCATAAGGTTGCCAGAAAAAGAAAAAAAAAACACTGGTTATACAATTAAATTTAAATATCAGGTAACCAACAAATAATGTGTTCATATGTCTTACATAATACTGGAACACGCAATGTTTGAAACACATTTATACTAACAAATAATTCATTGTTTATCTAAAATTTAAATTAAGGCATCCTGGTTTTCTGGTTTTGTTGGCTAAATATGGTGATCCTATGGCAATTCCAAATATGAAATGCATCTTTATGTTGGAAAGCTACCTTGATATTATGGTTGAAAGTGACATTGAATATCAGCTCTGACACAGCTCTTTATTAGCTGAGGCCAACCCATCCAGTCTCCTTGAGCCTCCTGTTTGGATGCATAAAATGGTTTTAAATGTAAATCCCTAAAAGACCAACATGAGAACTAGATGAAATAACAGAAAAACATCTAGTAGAGCAGCTGGCACATAGTAATGGCTCAATAAATCATACTATCATTTACCTTCTAAAAAAGACTCACCTTCCTTCCTTTTTGATATGGCAAACATAGTGGCCACTCATTGTAGATGTTCCCATGTGACTGATAAATGCAAATAATTCATACACTATGAAAGAAGAAACAATTCAGTCACAAGGCAGCATTTCTAGAATCAAGAACACTTCCAATGAGACAAGTATAATAATAATAATGATGATAATGATAATAATAAAATAATAATAATAATAGTGTAATCCAGCAACTGTTTAGATTTGAAAGACAAACCCTATTTGCCTTACTATATGGAACACACACACACACACACACACACACACACACACACCCCTCTGCAAATTAAACCTGAAAATTCATTATAACAAAAACAGGACATAAATTAACAAACTCAAGCTGATATTAAATTCAAATCTTGAAAGGATTAAAAATCCCACAGCCCAATCTGCTGGCAGGCTTATGGGTCTAAAAAGGAAGCGCTGGCTCCATCACTTTCAAACAATATGAGGGTGGACAACTTGTCTCATCTCTCTGATCCTGTTTCTTCACAGAGCTCTTTTTTTTTTAAATCTGCTTTGCAGGGTTGTATGAGACTTACATGAGCAATTCAGACTAAAATGTCATACAAATGTTAGGATTATGAGGAAAGTAGCAAATGGCTGTTAGCACTTACAGAAAAGGATAATGTTTCTCATAAAATGTCTGATTTGTCATGATAATAATCTATAATAATCTATGTGGGACCAAACTTCAGGCTTCATGCTTTCTGAACAAAGAGACAAAACAGATATATATAACCTTTTAGAGTAAGACTGATGTTTATCCGCTAACAGGTGCCTCCTGCCAACAAGCACAGTATGCTGTATCAAATCCTTGTTGAATTAATTTTGTTCATGTTCCTTCTGTTACTCTTAGAAGCATATGGCATAAAGTAGGCTCTGTGGGCTAGTACCTATCCACTCAGCAAACTGTTAGGACTAGAATGAGATAGTACAGAAGTTTAGAGTAAGGATTTATAAACTTTTACAATAATTTATGAGTAGTATTCATATATGAATGTAATAGGTAAAAGGTTTGCATATTCACTTTTCTAGTCCTCAATTTTCATTACACTTTCCAAGAAAAAGTGCTGGCTTTGGAAAGGCCCTTTGCCTGATGTTTGTCTCTCCCATTCTTTCTTTCTCTTGCTTTTCACTCATATTCACTCACTTCTTCAGCTGTCAATCCTAGTCCTCTTCTCACTCACACTTACACCCTGTTAATCAACTCTTCCTTCCTCAAATCCTTGCCCCAGGACATGAGTGTTTTGGCTGTCCTTCTGCCTCAGTGGTTGTTCCATATCTGTCTCCTTTGTTGGTACCTCCAGATCTCCTGACCTTTGAATATTGTTGACTTGCAGCTTAAGCTTCAGACCTATTTTACCCTGCTCTATCCAGAATCTCTCTCTCGAAATATTCTCACTTAATCTCATGGTAGTAAAGGATATTGTTTTCATAATTTCATTTCCAGAAGGTTCATTGCTCATATATAGAAATAAAATTGAATTTTATATAGAGATTTGATTCCTGCAACCTTCCTGAACCTATTTATCAGTTCTAAGTTCTTTAGTGGATTCCTTAGGATTTCCTATATATAAGGTAATGTCACCTGCAAATACAGATAATATTACTTATTCCTTGATAATCTGGGTGCCTTTTACTCCTTTTTCCTGCTTAATTGTATTGGTTAGGACCTCCTGAACAATGTTAAAGAGAAGTGGCAAGGGGGGAAATCCTTGTCTTTTAGGAAGAACATCTTCAATCTTTCATACTAAGTATCATGTGAGCCATGGGGGTTTTGTTTGTTTTGTAGGTACCGTGTATCAGGCTAAGGATGTTCCCTGCCAGTCCTAGTTTATTCAGCAGTCTCCCCTCAGCCTTGTCTATCTCAGTCAACGACAGTTACATTTTTTCATTATGTCAGTCTGAATGTCTCTCTCAAACTCTTTACATCTATGCAATCCATCAACAAATCCTATCAGTATTTACTTTAAAATATATCCAGACCCCAATCACTTCTTACAATCTCCCCTAGAAACTCCTAAAGCAAGTCACCATCATCTCTTGTCTTTATTGTTGCAAGAATGTCTTAGCTGACTCCCTACTGATTATTCTCAGTGTCCAGAGTGGTTTTTTTAATAGAAGTTATATTATGATTACTACTCTGCCCAAAATCCTTCCTAAATCTCACAATAATATCCTACCCTTGCAACTGTCTATGAAGTGCTCCCATCCCTTCCTGTTCTCCCTGTTTCTCCACTCCAGCTACCCTGAACTCCAGGCTGCTCCCAAACACACCTAACATGCTGTGGCCTTCATTCAAGCTTTTACGCCTACTGTTCCTTCAACCTGACACTCTCTTTTCAGATATCATTGAGGTCTCAGGTCAAATGTTACCTCACCAGACAAGCCACCCTGAACAACCCCCTACACACTCCTTTGCTCCCTGTCCCCTTATCCTGCTTTACTGTCCATATAGCATGAAGTACCACATGCTATGTCACAGGCTTCCTTGTGCATTCATGTACTGTCTTCTCCTTTTACCCCAGGACAGAATCTTAAAGGGTCTATAAATTTCCTCCCTCTATCCCAGCCAGTTCAAAATTACCAATTTCTTTATTATACTGCTTAACTCTCCAAATATCAAACATTTTTCTCCAAATTTAATGGTTCTCCATCACTCATACTTTAGTGGAAATTAATTTACTCCATAGAGTGGCTTTCTCTTAACTTTCAATAGAATAAATAAATAAACAAACCAGAAATTATACCAAATGCTAAAGTAGGATGAATATTAGAACCCAGACATGAAGGAAGTTCACGTGGCTTCCAAGGAAGTCACTGGGCCTTAACATCTCTGGGAAGCCACACTTCCTGGCCCCCCCCCAGGCCCTCTTCCAAGTGGGATTCCTCAAGGAGGCCAGCAAGCTGGGAGCCCCATCTTTGAAAAAAGGAACTCTCTCCCTGCTCCCCGACTGGAAAATCTTGGCTGCGGCTGAAGACATCTGGACGTCAGCAGTAGGACTGAAGGAGCCAGAGCAGGTTTTGAGTAATCATAGCCTAATTACATGTTCATTACATTGGCAATCAGCGAGTTGTTTTTTAAAGAAATTAAACCCTCATTAAGTGCAACACAGAAACAGAAATGATTTTGCAAATAACAGAAGCCCAGACAGGTCAGAGTGAAGGCTTGAATATTCCCACTCTTTTGAAAAATTTTAAAATTCAACAGAAAGTTAGTTGCTAGCCCTAAAAACCATGTAGGACATGGCGATAAAAAACCTGTGAAAAATAAACTTTCATCTCCATTTGAATACAAAACGTGAATACAAAGACTCATGTAAAATAAGAAGGTAAAGGAGAAAGTGTATAGGCTTCCAAATCAGACAGACCTAAATTCTGACCTGGTTGTACCACAAGCAAATCACTTAAATTATCACCATTTCCTCATCCAAACACCTCCTACAAACAGGCAAAGAAAAGTAGTAGAGGAAGTGCCTGACACATGGTAGGCACTCAATAAATGACAGCTAGTGTGCACAGTGTTAATGACCCTTTTAACCTATTTATATGTGGTGTTCCATTTTTGGAATACCCATAACAATAGAACATTATAAAAATTTTCTCTTCAAATTCCTCTTCCTTGACTTTTTTCTAGGTAACGCATATGAATTTCATACAAAAGTTCAAAAGAATTGCAATCTTCTGCACAAACATGTTAAACCAATGCTTACATAAACAGTTTCATGAAATAATATTACTTCCTTAGTCAGAAAGATCCAAATGTAGGTTGAATATTCTTTATCCAAAATGCTTGAAACCAGAATTGTTTTGGATTTCAGGAGTGTTTTTTTTTCTTTCAGATTTTGGAATAGTTTCATATACATATTGAGATATCTTTGAGATGGGACCTAAGTCAACCCATAAAATTTATTCAGGTTTCATATACACCTAACTCACAGACATAGCTGGCATATAAATGTGTACAATAATTTCAGTACATCTCCATTTTGCTTGACATGAGGTCAGGTGTGGAAATTTCCCCTTGTGGCATCATGGTAATGCACAAAAAGTTTTGCATTTGAAGCTGAGAACTCTGGGACAGGCATCTTTCTGCTGGATTGTCACCTAGAGATAGTAGAGGGCCCTGCCAGATACCTTGTGGCCACTAGAGTCAACCTGAGAGTGGAACCAGCCATCCCAGAGGAAGCCATGCCAAGGAGCCCATCAGATAAAAAGTTTGTGGCCTGAATCAAAGGAGTCCAGTCCAGTTCCACCCATTGCATCCCCATGACGTGCCAGCTTTTACAAGATGATACTTTCCTTTTGCTTAGACAACTTAGGCTCAGGTCTCCCACTTAGAACAGAATCTCCAAAGCTGAACTTGCTTTTATTTAGTTTGTTTTGGCTCCTCAACTAGTAACTACCTTTGCCTTTTAAAGATATTCGATGTCCCCAAAACAACCTACACATACTTCCCCCAGCTTAAACTATAAATCTTTTATAATTCCAATCAAACTCCTATGGAATGGCCTCTTTCTAGGTCATTGGCTTTATAAAATTCAGCAGTAACAATTTAGAAAATACCATGGGAAAAATGTTGATAGATAAGTAACACAGAAAATGTAATTCTGAGATATAAGTAAACCAGAAATACAAAAGAGTGTTTATGAAGCAAACCACAGAGCTTTTCAGGGCAGAAAGAGGTGCAGGAATGAATCAAAGGAAAAGTATAGTGTGTTTCTGGATAGAAAAACTCAACACTGCAAAGCTGGGAAGTATTAATCTACAATACATTAAACTCATACAAATCAATTTCTTCAAAAATAATTAAAAACCCCAATAAAATGGCCAAAGAAAATGAGGAAGCCATGAACATAAGAAGAAAACAAACTGGGTAATAAAGAGATGAAAGAATATGAAAAGTATGTGACACAACACTGCTAGGGAGGGCTGGGGGGACAGGGTGTCACCCACATGGACATCTATGCACAATGCTGAGTTTCCGAGGGCCATGTGAAAGCTGCATTAAAAGTCTGTATTTCTCAATCAAGCACTTCACTTCCAGAGACTTATTCAAAAGCAATCATTATGTGAAGGCCTAGCACTGTTCATTACAACATTATTTTTAACAAAGGAAGGAAGTTAAACAAGTGTTTATTTGCTGGATAATGATTAATCAGGCATATGTTGTAGTTCTGTGAACTGAATTCATCCTTTCAAAAACTTCCTAGCAAGGCTGAGGGGGAAAAGGAACACTTCTACATTGTTGGTGGGAATGTAAACTAGTACAACCACTATGGAACTCAGTATGGAGACTCCTAAAAATACTAAAGTTAGAAATTCCATGTGACCCAACTATTCCCTTTCTAGGTATCTTCCCAAAAGAGTTAAAGACATCATATTTAGTGATACATGGCAGCTGATTGGACCAGGAATATCTTCAGATGCCCTGAGGTACAGTAAGTCCTGAGGGGATGACATGGCTGTTCTTATTATTACTGACCATCCAAGAGGGAGTAGTTAGTACCTCCAAGCTCTACCAAAAAAGGGAAATACTTGATAGCCAAATACTTTGGCATCTTTACAATAGCCCCATCTTGTGGTTTATTCCCTCTGTGATGACTCATCAGCTCCAAAGACCATTTTAGAAAATCAATGAAACTGTGAAAGCCAATAGACATGGAACACATAATAAATCCTGCTCATAAATTATTAACTTGCCCATTACAGCTTATAATGTTTTAGGCAATGCAGTGATTTCTGAAAGTAATATAAGACCTTTAAGATGAACAGGGAAACTGGGAGAACTATAGCCTATCATTTTCTTACCCAGTAAGACTAAAACAGTGTATATATTTTTTATAAAAGAAGAAAGCTTCCATCCCCTCTCTCTCTTTAGCTATAAATAAATAAATACTAGTAATATCTTGTAAGACCACCAATAAGTAGATCTGCAACTCTATGATCAGAGAAACAAATGTTGGTAATATACATTTAATTAAATCCAATTGTTGTTTATTCAGCACGTTCTATATATTAGACACCATGAGTTTCACAAAATAGCCTCTACCCCTCACAAGCTCCCAAGCAAATGGGAAGCACAGAGAGCTATATAAAAAATTTCACTACAAGATCAACATGCTACTCAACACCTTACAATGGCTACAGGCAGGCACAGGCTCTGGAGGCAGACAGATTGCCTAGGCTGGAATTCTGGTTCTACTGATCGCTATAGATGTGACCGTCACAAGTTACACTTTTCTCTGTTTCAATTCCTTCACCTATAAAATGAGGATAACAAAGGTATCCACCTCTTGGGGCTATTAGGAGAATTAAATACAGCACAGATGGAAGCATTAATAGTACTGGTATAATTATTACTAGTATATGAGATAAGCACAGGCTTATTATGGCTATAATAGGGGTCTAAGAAAGCAGATCAGAGAATGGGGTCTGTAGCTAAGTTCTGAAGAACAGTAAGCGTTTTTGTGCACAGTGACGAGAGAGAAGGGTATTTCACAAATAGAGATTAACTTGAGCAAAGGCCTAATGGTTGGTGAGACAAAAGTTGGTGGCAGCTGAGGATGCTGGCACTACCAAGCTTCTGAGCTGCAGGTACAAGGGGTACAGAAGAAGTGACACAAAGATGAGACAGGCTGGAATCTGGCAGGGGGACGTGTCAGACTAAAGAGCTAACCATCATCCTATAAGCAACAGCTCAAGGAGCAGAATATCATAATGGTTAAGAACATGGATTCTAGAATCTTGCCTCTGCACCTTAAGAGGTATGTGACCTTAGACAAAGGACCTAAGCTCTGAGCCTCTATTTTTCTCACCTGTAAAATCAGTCATGGTGACAATTAAATGAGTGTTCACTATTAAAAGGCAGAATCATGGCCTATGGCACCTCTTCTGTCATCTTGAGACTGCCCTTCAGAAAACTACCGGCAGATAACATTGGTACTGACACAGTCAAGGAAGGGAGACTGCTTTTCTACTGTTCAAAAACTACCATGAAAACAAATGCTCTGTTTCTGACAAAAGCTCACAAGGTTTATAAAGAAATGCTACCTCAAAGAGACAAAATGAAAACTGGTACTAAACTTACACACACACACAACCACACATACAGACACACACATGCACACAACTATTACGACCAGTAGGTACTAATACTACTACTACTACCACTAGATACTAGGTGCATTCTAAGTACCTTGAGACTTTATCAGATCACTGTGGCTTATAAAAAGTGAAAAAAGGCACCACTTAAGAGAAAACAAGATCTGTGTTAACTTTTGAATGATGGCAAAGGTTCAGATACATAGTGATGAGGGGAAGGGCATGAGCTGAATGCACAGTCATGAACTCTGAAACAATTTTGGGGGCAAGAACTTACTTCCAGAGCCATCCTTGACTCTAGGTCCTTCAGGCTTGGCCTCAGAAATAATGTTGGCATTGGCATTATTCTCCATCTCAATCACAAAGTCGCTGTCCTCTTCAAACTCAGGGTGGCTAAAGATCCAATCCAGTGCTCTTTCCAGGTTATTGTTCTAATAAAATAAATCAATTTTATAATGCATGAAGTCCCCAGGCTTCATTACATTTTGATCGTTTGAACTGCATGTCAGCCAGATAGGGGAGGAAGACTGAATTCATTAGTCCTAAGTGGCTCTGAGTAGGAAGCTCTGACTCTGCATATGACATGCACATTGGCCTGGCACTTGGCAAGTCCCCAACCAAGGTCTGTAATTGGATTCACTGGGAAACAGTTCTGAATAGCAGATCAGCATTTCCAAAGCTCCTATCAGTCTTAGCTCAGCACTTCTACAGGTTGGTGCTGATAATGATGGGTGTAGAATGCCAACGGGGCACTCGTTTAAGTGCAGCCCTTTCTACAGCCACAATAATTACACAAACTACTTTTCCTACCAACTTTATTTTCTGCAGGTAACTCTACAAGATAGAGGGGCACCAACAAGAGTATTGTATTAGTGCCTCCTCTCCCCAGTGTTGGTAGAATGGCCAAATTGCAGTAGAGACCAGATCAATGGCTTAGATAATGATTGACTGTTTAAAATGAACTCTCCACAGTTCAAATCAATTCACCATGAAAGCTTTTCCAATCTCCCTTATTTGTGGTATCACTAGAAGTTTAAAAACTTTATTTAAACAGAGTCAAAAATCCAATGAAACAGTCAGGCAAATAAAATAAATGAGGCACAAAAAAGTACCCTGCTGAGATATTGTAAGCACTTCAAAGGGAAACATACCATTCCAGCCACATCTCCACAAGCCACACATGAGCCTCTGTGATCTCGACAATAGAGCTTAGCATGCACCCACTCAAGATTAGCAGGAAGGAAGTGCTAAAAAGCACTAAAAAGTGGATTATGACATGACAAAGAAAGGATGTTAAAAAAGAAAGTGCCTTCGCTAAATATCAAACAGATACCTACACTGTCAAGAGGAAGATTTCCACCTCCCTCTAGATTCATGGTCCTTCCTCTCCTGATAATATCAGGACATTCCTAATGACCAGAAGAACATTCTCTGACTATAGGCAGAAACAGCAGCACAGAATTCCAAGGAGCCATTCAGCCTTCTATTATGACATTTAAAGACATATTTCTCCAAGGTCTTAATATCAGAGAAGCATTATTTTACCCAAAAAAAAAATTCTTACTAAACACATAATCTCAAGCATCCCTCTTTGCTTTAGGCCACAGCAAGCTTAGAGTCAAATCTGTGAGGCCCACTGTGCCAGTTAATCTTACTTATCAATTTTCTATGTTAAGACACTCCTGGAAAGATGATTGTATTTTGGGGGGTATAGTCATGAGTAGATCAACCCACAGATGTTCACAGCTGAATGTGCTGTGAGGAGGTGGGGCCTGGTTGGAGGTGGGTCACTGAGGGTGTGCCTTTGGAGGGTGTATCTCTCTCTCTGGCTCTTCCCCTGTGCTCTGCTTTCCAGAAACCAGGAAGTGAGAAGCCTTGCTTTACCACACCCTTCTGCCATGATGTTTCTGCTTTGGAGCCAGCAGATCATGGACTGAAACCTCCAAAAACATGAGCCAAAAATAAACTTCTCCTCATTTAAGTTGCAAGTTTCAGGTAGTTTATTACAATAATGAGAAAGCTGATCAATACATCCACTAACAAACATTCAAGATGATATGGAGTTTCCTACAGTTTGGTCATCTTGCCCAAGGTTGATCATTTCATTATGTTTAAATCTGCTGTACAATTCCTACAAGCATTTAATTTAGCTTTATATATTATATGCAAATAAATCTTAATGGGCCATGGTGGAGTACAGAGTCCCATTAACATGATTCAAAATGATCAAAATTGAGAAGTTATACTGCTACTGACTGAAATGTAGAACACCTCCAGGATGAGGAAAATATTCACACACACACAAATACATACATACACACACACACACACACACACACCACACACAATTTTTCATGCTCACCGTTGCTCGTAATGCCTGCACAGCCTGATTTCTCTGGAATCCCATGGAGGTAATGATAGCTACAATTTCCTCTGGAGGCTGGTTATCCAACCCACTAGCACCAAATACCGAGGCTCCAGCAGACGCTGCTCCTCCATAACCAGGCATGGTCAGCGGTTCGGCAAAATCTGAGGGAAAAAAATCATGCTCAAAGCTTTTAATTTTTTTTTTTTTTTGGTCTTGAAATAGAGGGTTAAGATAGAAAAATGCCTACAAAATTACAATAATCACAACAATCTGGGATTCTCATGAAAGAGATACATAAGTCAATTGAATCAAATGTTTAGAAATAATATACTTATGATCAATTGATTTTCAACAAGCTCATTGAGTAGGGAAAGGATACTCTTTTCAACAAACAGTGCTGGAACAACTAGCTGTCCACATACAAAATAATGAAATCAGACCCTATCTCAAACCATAAACAAAACTAACAAAATGGATCGCTGACCTAAATGTAGGTGGCAAAACTATAAAGCATTTAAAGGAAAACACAAAAGTAAATTTTTGTGGCATTGGGTTAGGCAATGGCTTCTTAAATGAAACACAAAAAGCACAAGTCATTAAAAAGTACATTAGACTTCATTAAAAATTTAAAGTGTGTGCTTCAAAGGACATCATCAAGAAAGTAAAAAGACAGCAGAATGGAAAAAATACATATAAATCATATATCTGATAAGGGACTTGTATCCAGAATATAAAAGAACTCGTAGAACTCAACAATAAAAAGACAAATAACTTCATTAAAACTGGGCAAAGGATTTTCGTTCCTAAAGTACAAGTTCCAGGAGCAATAGAAATTAGAGTAATCCAGCTACAAACTGTCTCAGCCATTATGCAATAACACTTCCCAGGGAAGACTGCAAAGTTGCTGCTCCATTTTCACCATTTTTCCAAGGATTCTTTGAAAATGTAACCATCAGATATCATTGTCAGTAGCATTGGAAACATTTTGCTTTGTTTTTCACTGGTTCTGCTTAGATTTTGTTCAGAAAAAAAATATTTTTTAAATTAGAGTTCTGGGATAGGCTGACCCTAGCAGACCTCTGGAAGCCTAAATGACAAAAGCTCACTAAGCTTCCTTGTCAGAAGAAAATATCATGAGCATGAATCTGAATCCCTTCAGCTCAAAACATATGATGACCTCTCCTGTGATGCCTACTTACTCCCACCCAGCTAAAGTACCAAGCTTACTGGCTAAAGTCTCAGCTTGTTGGTAAAGATAGAACCATGCACACTCTGCATTGGATTGTTGGTCACAAGATTCACCTATATAGTATTCAGATCCTTCAACATTTCAACAATAGCTACAACTGGGCCGGGGATTTAGTTCAGTGGTTCCACTGCCTGCCTTGCAAGTGCAAGGACCCGAGTTCGATCCCCAGTACAAAAAAAAAAACCAAAATCAATGGCTACCACTCACCATGGCTTCGTTTATTTCACCTGAGCAGTGAAGAATGGCTCATCTATCATTTCCTGAAAGTGTTACTTCTGATAAGCCATTGGTAGAGGTAAGGTCCAGGAATCTGCTTTACCCTTCTTAAAATAACTTCAAAATGATTATTTTATTCGGTTCTCACAATGTCCCTTGTTTTAATGAGGGAGAAATGGGAAAAAAGGAGGAACCTGATGCCCAAATGTGTAACCAAGGCAGATCTGCAATTATAGATGTATTCTGTAAGCTGAGTCACTCTTAAAAAAAAGAAAAGAAAAATTTAAAACAAAATTAACCTATCATTCAATATACTGGTACTTTAATGATGTCTCAGATTACTGAAGAGATGTTAAAATAACAGAGGTGATTTACTTCCTAAGTTCTCCATTTCAACTCATTTTAAATGTTACTGCATATCTCCAGTATAATGGAAATTACAGATTGTAGCTCAAATATATTACAAGTTCGTTACAGATTATTAGCTCCCTGGCATTAATTCATTCAGGTGATTGTTGCTATTGTCCAATGGTGATGTAGAATGTGAATACAGGCTCAACGGAGGCCAAAGGATTTGATGACAATGAAGTTGTCAAGATGAGCAGGTCAATCATTAGTTCCCCAAATTTGTTTTTCATTGACCTATGACAGAGCTAGTACAGCAGTTGTCCAGGAACCGTTGTAGGCTATGAACACAGCTACTTTGAATGACACAGGCCTTGATGAAAATGATTTTCCAGTCTTAGGACACTCAAAATTGTATAACTCCTGAATTCCATGGCTAGTGTTTATCCCATGCAGGGCCATTTTGGGGTCATTCTCTAATACGTGCTACAGGACATGAACAGATAATCAGGTGGATGTCCTGAGTGAGAACAACATGAAACAAATTATATGATCCAATAGATCTGTTTTCCTTAGAAGTAGTCCCTATGTTCATGAAAGTTTTTAGTGAACATTGCATTACACAACACTTACTACAATTCCTTCTTAGATCAAAAATAATTATTAGTCTAGGGTCAGCGAGTTGCTGCTTCCCAAGTGCTATAGCTTGCATCTAGATGCTCACCCAAAGCCTCAAGTGCTCATAGGTGGAGCTTTTCAGAAGTGGCTGGATCCAGGGTGGGTGAATGTGGATTAAGGGTGTGTGATAACTAAATTAGTCCATTTAGCATTGTTCTAGGTATGCATAATGGGAAGGCTCACCCTGGGTGTGGATGGCACTAATCAATAGGCTTGCAGCCCAGATGGGATAAAGGAAAAAGAAGGCTCTCTGCTACTGCTGCTGCCTCTTCCTACCCTGCCATGGACTGTTTCTCCTCTGTGATGCCCCTCTGCCATGCCACCCTGCCTTGGAGCCAGCCAACTATGGACTGAAACCTCTACAAACTGTGAGCTAAATAAACCTTTCCTCCTTTAACTTGTAGTTGTCGGGTATTTTGTCCCAACAATGAGAAAAGTAACTAAGATGCTGAGTTTCCCTAGGGTTTCAGAGTATATTATGTTCATGAGACTCCAACTTTTTCCCTCAGCATACATAACAGGCTTTTCTCTATGTCCCAATTTCCTGACCATTGCTGAATGTCATTTAAAATGACAGTATAATGGTTGGTTTTACTTAAATACTTACATCATATTCACCTCACCTAGGACCATTTATAGTCATTCTGCAACAGGTGATGTAGAATGTGAAAACATACCCAGCACAGTATCTTCCATGTGAGGAAAATAAAGACCAAGCGATAATTGCACAACATTTATTCTTGCGTATTGACCACCTTCAGTTTCTGCTAAACTTGAGCATAATTGGCACTGAGTTCCTTTTTTTAAAAAACGCATGGATGAAAAACAGGTCTATCAGGTCAAATTATATCTGTTACATGGATTGGATTCTGGACTGAAAATGGTATGTCCATAAGACCAAATGACCTCATTTACAAATAATAAATACATAGATACATAAATAAATTTTTAAATGGGTAAAGAATGGGACTGGGGATATAGTTCATTTACTTAGCATGCATAAGGCCTGAGGTTCAATTCCTAGCACCACCAAAGGGGTGGAGGGCAAAAGATTGATAGGCAATTCTCCAACAAAGACATACCAATGGCCAACAAATATATAACAAGATATTCACCATCTTTAGTCATTATAAAAATGCAACTCAAAATCAAAATTAGAAAACACTTCACATCCACTGGAATAGGTATAATAAAAGAGATAATAACAAGGGTTAGTGAGGTTGTGGAGAAAATGAAGCTCTCATTTACCATTAACAGTAATGTAAAATAGTTTAGTCACTCTGTAAAATAGTTTGGTAGTTCCTCAAGAAGTTAAATACGAAGTTACCATATGACACAGCAATTCTACTCAAATGAAACAAAAATATTTATCCACATAAACCATCCAAGCAAATGTTTACACCAGAATTATGAATAAAATCTAAAAGGTGGAAACAACCCAAAAGTCCATCGATTGATGAGAGGATAAAATGTAATATGTCCATACTGTGAAATATTATTTGATCATAAAAAGGAATGAAGTAAAGATACATGCTACAACTCAGGAACCTTGAAGACATTATGGTAAGCAATAAAAAGTAGACACAAAAGGTCTCATATTGCACTAGTTCAATTATAGGAAATGTCCAAAATAGACATAGTCATAGATCCAGAAAGTAGATTAGTGATTACGAGGAAGTAGGGACAGGAGAAAAATGGGGAAGTGACCATTAATGTATGCAGGATTTCTCTTTTAGGTGGACAAAAACATTCTAAAATTAGTAATAATGTTTGCATAGTCACAAGTTTACTAAAAATCATTGGAATGTACACTTTCAATATGTGGACAGATGAATTAAATCTTAATAAGGCAGATAAAAGAAAAAGCTAACTAAAGGGCGTCCATTTCTTTATGCGCATGTTTCTACTCTAAGTCCTCATCATCTTTTAGCTGAAAGTATATCCTACATCTTTCTAGTGATCTTTCTGCCACTGAATTATACATTTTAGAATAGCTAGCTATATCTTACTGAAGGAAGAAGAAGAAGAGGAGGAGGAGGAAGAGGAAGAGATAGATTGTGGCTTTGTCTAACTACTGCAGAATATTATGAGCTGAAAAGTCATTTTTCTGGGGACATGCTCCCAGGGGACAAGGAAGGACCAGGGCTTAGTATCACTGAGAATCGTCTCAACCTCTAAAACCACTTCATAATCCCACTACCTACCAGGCTCTTCCATGTGGATAATGATCCAGTTGAAGGCCACCTCAGCTCCCATATTTCCAGTAAAGTACACAGCCTTCCGGCAGGCTTCCAGAGGGAAGCCCATCTCAGCCAGCTGCATCACCGATGACTCATCAATGTCTGAGGCTGCAGGCACAACAGGGTATTCAGATGTGAAAAAGTCAACTCTCCATTTCATCTAGTCTTAGTGGCCCTTCACCCCCTTCTCCATGTGTTACCCAAAGAAAGTGCTATTTTGGAAGGTGTTAGACAATGGCTTTACTTTTCTGAAGCTACTTAAATACTCTGAGGGAAGAAATAGCATCACTAGGTCAATATAAATAGCCACGGCGTGATTCCCACTCGGGCCTGGGTGGCATTCCTACTAATGGTCGCTCTGCAGAGCTACAAGGACACTCATCACTTGTCACTGGCTCACACACATTTGCTCCTTATTCAACTTGCAGACAAAGAATTGCTCCCACTCGGGAAAGGCTTCCCATACACACAAACAGAACAATGCCTCTGTACTGAACTATGACTGAAAAATGTGTCAGACTGAAAACAATTGCATGACACCCAAAGACATTTTAAAAGGTACATACGGTCTATCAATTGGTTCATCAGACGATCTGCAAATGAAGGGAGAGGAAGAGAAAATGAGATCAAACCAATCCATGTCAATGAGTTTTACAGAAAGTAAAACCATAGATCCAAAGCATTCCCAAACTCCCTCAGCCCAGAGGAGTACACATATACCATCTCAGCCTGCACAACACAAAATGCTTATAGTAAAGAGGGAAATCACAGGTTGTAGGCATTCAGAACTGATAAAACAGGATGTTCTGATTAGCATCTTAACAAACTAAATAATTTCTCTGGGTGTATTTCTAACAACTCTGTATAATTACAACCCAAGGGTTTTGTTTTGAACATTAGAAAAAGGGGAAGCAGTCCTAATAAACCAGCTTGTGCTTCTCTGCTGCTCATACATCTCCTTTCTCTGATCCCCAAAAGGAGGTTACTTTCATACCTAACTCCTGTCTACACGACCTGGAGGGTCTCACATGCAGTTCCTTTCTCTTCTGTGTCTGCAGTTCCTTTCTCTTCTGTGTCTGCAGTTCAGCATCTGACTTTCTGTTGGAGAGCAATCTAACAGACAAGCCTATCACTCTTGGATCCCTCCTGCTCCTCTGGACTTCTCTTTTTTTGCACTGAGGATCACCAATAACACTCACTGCTCAACTGATGCAAAGCCTTCGGCAGAGAGGCCCAGAGTGCGCTTCATTATTAGCTAATTTACCTAATGAACTCATTAGGAAGATGAAGAGCAAACAAAGCCAAGAAGAGGCTGATTTCATCAGAATAACTGAGCTAATAATTAAACCAAGAATTTTCTGACACAATTTTTAAACTCTCAAAGATGAAGCAACTATTTTTTGCATGAACTTTTCTCTTTTTAAAGTTATGTATTCTGAACAATGACCAACTTAACAGTCACAGAGTGAACAAGAAACTCAAACCACTCCCTTCCTATGAAGCACTGACAAAACTGGGGAGGTGAAATATGATCAAGACTTTTAAAATCAACACACCCCATTCAATTTCCTTTTTCTGATGTCCAAGAAAAACACAGCTCCCCTAAACTAAAAGCCTACTGAAAAAATACTTTTTCTTCTCAATAGGGGGTAAACATATTCCTTTTTCTCCCATTTGGAAAGAAGCAGAAATAGGGACGAAGCCAAAGCCAGAGGCAACATAATCTAAAAATTGTCCATTTCAACTACTCATGCTGGCTCTGCGCCTCTTCCAATGTGAATTTTAACAGTACAAGCTGCAGCCACACCTTGGAGCTGTGTGCCTGTGCTAGGCTACATCACAGGAAGGGACTCCATAAGAAGGGGAAGAAAGTGACCGTTCCTGTAAAGGAAGGTGGCAAGTAGAGAACATCCTCCCAGCAGGACGTGGTACCTTTGGAGTCATCAGGAATGACTATGGGAGGGCTGATGTCTGGAAGTTCCTCCTCTCCTGGCTGTAACCCTCTGGCTCGGAGATGGTTGATATCAAGTAGATCTGGCATATCAATAGAAACATCTGCAAAATGAGAGAGATTGTAGGGACTGGACTCTCCATAAACTTATAACCATTTTAAAACCAGCACTACACACTCTGCATGCATGTATCCAGGAGGAGCTAAAGGAGGCTTTTCAGCACATACATCACAAGGCCAGGAGCTTCATCGAGACTAATGAGAGGTTAACGGAGAGTCTGGGCAAAGTACAGAGTGTGGCAGGATTTTGCACTAAACAAGAACAAATCGGTTCAGCCTCAGACCACAGACTGCAACCCACAGACCACTGGTGGCCCAAACACATTCTATTTGGTGTTTTTAAAATGTTAGAAATATGTCCCAAGTTTTAAATAAGTAGATTTAATTTAAAAATTCAGCTTCCAGATTATTTTGAAAAACATAAAGCTGGAGCACATGCTTGTCTGGTGACAGCTGTTGGGAGCTGATCTTCACCTTGCAGTCTGTAAGTCTGCAACAGTCGGACACAGACTCTCCTGAGCCCTATCACCGCTACAGCCCTACACATCATACTTCTGCTGTTCTGATTCTTAGGGTAGAGAAATGTTTTTCTAATTTATGTATTTAGCCTAAGTGGGAATGTCCCAGCCAGATCAAGATGGCTATGTATTTCTCATACCTAGTTTACTTCTTTCATTTAGATTATTACTCAGTCCTTGTTAGGCATTTGAGTTTGCAACCCCTAGTCTGTACTTTATCTCAGATCACAATGAGTACCATGATCATTCTAACTATGGTGACAAAGAATGAAGTTTTTAAAATTATTTGAATCTGAAGTGTATTAGTCCTTGGAGTACATTTTTTAAATCTACTGACTCAGTTATTCTTATGTTGACTTTCTCAAATTCAATTTATCAGCCTAATAACGTGTCAAGATTTAGTACTACAGATATTCAGATAAGATAATAACTAAAAATAAGTTCACATGCTTATGCAAGATATGTCTTTTGGGCTAGCAAAGAAAATCTGAAAAATATTGTCCCCCAAATCATTTATGATGCCAGGTATATAAAATCATATTTTAAAACCAAAGGACAAAGCTAGGCTTTAACAAATTCCAATTTCAGGGGGCAGCAAAACCAACAAAACCTGACCAACAAAACAGATACAAATCTTCCCCAAGAGAAAGATTCAGGTTCAATAAACAATTCAGGCTCAGCTTCAGGACTCTTCTAAACTCAGTAAGTCAATAAACTCTGATTCAAATTTTTGTTCCTTGACAGAAATTTCAAGGGCTACGAAAACTCTTTTCTTAGCTGTTCAAAGCCATTAGAATGAGTCAAGTACTTCAAGACTTTCAGGGTCCTGCAGAGCGGCTGAGTGATCGGCACCCTGCCCTCAGTCCCCTCTGCTTCCAAACCCTCACGGCAGGAAAAGCAAGGGGCTCCTGCAGCATCAGGAACAGCCCGGCACAACTTCTCATGGCAAAGCCCTGGGTACCAGGAGCACCAGGGCCTCCTGGGAGGGCTCTCCAGCTGAGTCTGTGTTCTTCTGGCCTATCTCCCTTCTATGAGTGCTCATTTAACCCTAAGACTCACCTCATCTAGCTTTGTTTTGGTTCCTTGAGTGTTCAAAAACAAAAATGCAAGTGCCTGACAGTCTGAGGTATTTTCTTGAGAAATGGCAGAGGGTAAAACTGTAGCCCCTTCCACTGCACTGAGGACAACCTGGGAGCTTCGTATTGGATCACACTGGTGGAAAACACTGTTCTGTGTTGTCTGAAAAGTGAGCCTCTAACGAGAGCCTTTAAAATTAGCAAGAAGCAAGCCCAGGGAAACCAACATCACATTTCTTTTGTTGACTGTTTAATGCAACTGTTTTATCTTAGTAAAATTTGTATGATTTAAGTGAATCTCATTAGTTGCACCTGCCTGCCTCAGAGGCAGAGATTATCAACTACTTGCCACTCAAAGTGTGGTCTTGGCCAGCATTCCCAGGGAGGCTGTCAGAAACAGAATCTCAGGCCCACTTGAGATGGCCAAATCAGGATCTGCATTTTACCAGGATCCCAGGCCATCTGCATACACAGTAACAAGTGCTCTTCATTTGATCATGTGAGCACTCTTAGAAGTCAGTCATTCCATAGGGCCGGGGATTTGGCTCAGTGGTTCCACCGCCTGCCTCGCAAGCTCAAGGAGCAGAGTTCAATGCCCAGTACAAAAAAAAAAAAGAAGTCAGTCATTCCAGAACCCATTCGTGGAGAGATGGTTAAGCAAGTGGTAATTTTTATTATCAGTGCTTACACATATTCTGATTTGAAAGAGAAAGGTGGGAATAATGGGGAAAAAAGAATGAAATGGAACTGTGGCAGCCGGCTACTCGGGCTCTTTCACCTGTCAGGTGTTTTAAATGGTTAGCTTGATGTTTTAAGAAAAAACATGCAAAAGATACCTACCAAATTTTTTGGGAACCCAGTCAAGACCAAAAGTGAACTTCTTTATCTGCACTACCAAGTATTCGGGGAATGAGGCAAAGCGAGATGTTCTGGGAAACACAAGGGGATATCAATCAAACAAGGCAAAAAGAATGTTGAATACAGTTCAAGAAGTAAAATAATCTCTGTCTGAAGCCCGCCTTGTAATTCTGATGATCGACCTGAGAAAAGGAACACACACACTGTCATATAAGTGTGCACACACTCATTCACACCTGCTCACTTGTCCTGGCCTCGCCACAAGCAGAAAATGTGTAATGAGGGAGAATGCTGGGCCCTGAGAGTGATTTGGGGCCTATTTCAAAATTATTCCTTTTACTTTGCTGTGCCATTTTATATTTCCGTTTGTTTTTCCAAAATCCTTGTTGGAATTTAGAGTATATACTTATAGGTCTTTATAGTTATTGTCTGCATTACTTGTCTGTAAAGCTCCCCAAGTGGCCCTGAAACACCCCCATCCACTCCCCTACCAAGAGTCACAGAGCTGGCGTAAGTATAGTTTAACTTAGGCTGGGATTGACTAATGGAAATCCCAGGACTTTATGAAATACTAAATCCATGGTCACATGGCTCTTCAGAGTAGCTATGTTATGGCAATCTATAGTAAACTATCTTAGTCTGATTCTTAAATGTTAAAATTAATGCATATGTACAGTATCTTTAGTTCCTTCAAACCTTTAGGAAGGACAAATGCCTGCAGTTGGGTTTGACAATTTTACACACCAATTATTTAATTTGTAAATGAAATTTATACTTGTTCTGACCTCATTTATTCCACATTTACCATCTTATTTTGACTATAATGAGTGTTAGGTATGCATAAAGCAGAAAATGAGCTGTAGACAAGTACTACACACACCTTTAAGATAAAAGATTCTGGAACTCCCTGCCCCAGATTCCACTTTTCAAATCTGAGCTACTGCCTTCTATTTGGAACATAGTGTTCCAGAATTCACAGAGCAAATGCAAATGCACTGCTGCCCCCTAGTGTAGAAGAGGAGCCATAACAGGGTAGGGCATGAACAAAAAAAGTAGAAACATGTAGATATACTCTTAATTCACGCAAATCTGGGCAAATCACTGTCCTCTTGAGACTCTGTTTTTACATCTAACAATTGGATTTTCTATTGCTAGCACTGTGCAATGTTCATGAAGTAATGTAAAACCTCTCGGCACAGTAGTAAGATCTGTGCACACCTAAGGAATTGGAATGAATTTTGTCAACCCATGAGATTTTGGACACTGACTTGGTCTGTTACTAACCTGCATTATAACCCAGACAAGTTGTAGAACTTCTCTATATTTTATAGTCTCCATCCACAAGGATGGTAGAAGTCTACAGGCAATATTGTAAGGGAGCTGTTCAGGAAACCGAGGCTTTGTCATCCTAAGAAATTGATTATTATCCTGGCTCTCGCTCCAGAAATGTATGTCCACTCTAATTAGGTTTTCAACCTTTCGGGAAGCAGTAGTTAGCATCATTCTTATTTAATGTAGCCCAGTCCTCAATTTTACCATTAGGTATTATATTTTCAACAAATGTAAAAACTTTCTTTCTGATCTCCTCTTACATTAACCTAAAATCTGGAAAACTATGTAATCAGCCCAAAGTGCAATCAACCAAAAGTCATCAGCAAATTGATGATTTGTAAAATGTGATGCAGGAGCCCCCAGGGTCCTGCTGTTGGGCTGCAGTCAGTGTCTGGGTGAGGTTTCACATGGTAGTCCCAGGGCAGGGGGAGTGGAAAGCGTGAGGTTGGGGCAGAGGATGGACAATAACTTAACCCATCATTTTGTTATGGGTAACCACCAACCTAAGAGCATGAGAAAGCAGACTAGATGGTTCCTACATTGTATTTGCCACATTCTTTATTCATCTTTGTAACTTCCACGGGATCTTAAGTTGAATCATACATTCAGTGACTGCTCGATACATATGTGTTCAAATTAATGTAGAAAGTGACATTTTGCACTCATTAATAACAGTTTGGTGATACCAAGTTTGTTCATCAAATCCAGCAAAATTGTAAGTTATGCTCTGCATGTTCTTTTATTCTTAAAATCCCTGTAATTAAAATTTTTCCTGGAAAGCTATGCATTTTCAGTAAAGACTGTCAGAATGTGAATCATTCAAAAAGAAATTCAGGCACACCCCACCCATGACCCACAGAATGCTCACCTCTATTTTGAATGTTATAACAAAAAATATTTTCTTAAAAAAGGAAATTTTGTTTTTTATATACATTAACTATGTCATCTACTTTATGTGCAGCCCAAGTCAATTCTTCCTCACTCAGTGTGGCCCAGGCCAAAAAGTTGGCCACCCCTAGATGAATAACCAATATATTTCAAAAAGTTGTTACGGCAATTAAATGAAGTAAAACTATAAAGTTCCTAGAATAAGTCCTGACAACACTACTGTGTTTTCTGTTGACAACCTATTAACATTATTTAAAATGACAATTGCTCACTGATTACAATTAAGCCAAAAATACCATGAAGACTTTATTAAGAAAAAAAATACAACCCATCCCTTTCCCTCAAGTTATTCAGACTGTCTTTGTATTGAAAAGCTGGCTACTAAAAACAAACACAAACAAACAAAATTAAATAAAACCACAGTTCTACATTTTCTACTAAGTATGGTGAAAATATGATAATCAACCACACTCAAATCATATAATCTAAAGAAAAAAGGGGCCAGGGATTTAACTCAGTGGCACCATGCCTGCCTGGCAAGTACAAGGTCTTGAGTTCGATTCCCAGTACCAGAAAAAAAAGTTAAATTAAATTAAAATAAAAGAAATAAATAAAAATTTTAAAATAAAGAAAACATAAAAGTAATAGTAGTAACAATTGTATCCTAGAGTTACTCTGTGTCAAGCACTGTATGAGGCTCTTACCATGGCTTAGTTCCTTTAATCCTCACTTCAACTCTGTAAAGAAAGCACTTTCTAAAGGAAACAGCGGAATGGAATTAATATGAGAAAACAAAAAAAATGGAAACAAAGTCTTTGTAAATAGGGAGGGTAGGGGAAGGGGGAAAAATAAGAACCAAGAGAGTATGTAAAGGTGCATATCTCCAATGATGAATGTCATTATGTTGTACACCTAAAATGTACCAATAAAAAGATATACAAAAAAAAAAAAAAGAAAGCACTTTCTTTGTCCCCCACTAATAAATAAGTAAGGTGAGGTCACGTGGCCAAGGTCATGTGCCAGTAAATTCTGGATTGGAAATTCAAAGGCCACCCACCTAACCCACAGAGTCTGCTCTGAAACCCACACCATGCTCTTCTCGCCATAAATGCTAAAGAGGAAGTGAAAATCTCTCCCTCTCAACCCTTTAACTGTGAGCTTCTCAGGGCAGGCAGGAGTCAGGTTTTGTTTAGTTCACTGCCTAGAGTACACTAGAATATACTCATTTGCTGAGTGAATGAACGCTCCAAACTCTAATGCTTTTCCCAGATGTGATCTGTGCAGGATCATTTTAGGAAAGGGCCATTACGTCTGGTCTGCATGGACCTACAAGGTCCAAGATCTCTAGGACACTGTTTGTCCCTTCCTGGCTTTTCAGGCTTTGAGTCTAACAAAAAGAGTTCAAGATCCCAAATTATCAAAATGTAGGCTGAGTTATAGCCTACAATGCTGATACTAAACAGTTTTTAGGAACCCACTAGTTGTTTCCTCCAAAACTAGTATATGGAAAATGATAAAGCATAATAAGGAATAAGCAAGTCTATAACAGAATATAAGGTAAGCAAGCATGATAAGAAATGTGGAGGTCCTACATACCACAAGAATTGAGAGTTTAATCCCCGAACTCAATCAGCCCTAAGTGAATCCCAAATCTGCCACTTAGTGGCCAATTACTTCTCCTTTGATTTCTTCATCTGTAAAATGGGGGAATAATGGTACCCATCTCATACTTTTTTTTTTTTTGGTACTAGGGATCGAACTTGGGACCTTGTGCTTGCGAGGCAGGCGGTGGCACCACTGAGCCAAGTCCCCAGCCCCACACCTCATACTTCTAAGAAGACTAAATGTGGTACTTGATGGAAGTGCTTAATTCATGACATGGCAATAAGTATAATAATTGATAGTTGTTTTATTTCACAATGTCTATTTTTTCAATTATTAACAATTATGATACACAGTACTAATTCTTTTCCTGTATGTATAAAAAGTATATGCAGCTGGGCATGGTGGTGCACACCCGAAATTCCAGCATTCTGGAAAGCTGAGGAAGGAGAATTTCAAGTTCAAGCCCAGCCTGAGCAACTTAGCCAAACCCTGTCTCGAAAAACAATTCTTTGGGCCGGGGATTTAGCTCCGTGGTTCCGGCACCTGCCTCGCAAGTGCAAGGTCCCAAGTTCCATCCCTGGTACAAAAAAACAAAATTCTTTTTCAAAAAGGGCTGGGGATGTAGTTCAGTGATAAGGGCCCTGGATTCGTGTTCAATCCCATCCCTATAACAAAGAGGAGAAGTAAAGGAGAAGGAGGAGAAAAAAGAGGAGGAGGGAGAGGAAGCATGTGGGAGGATATGTATGTGTTCAGAAAAAAGGAAAAAAAACATGCTTAATATCTTCTTTAAAGGCTGTAAAAAGCAGAAGCTCCTCCTCCTCCTCCTCCTTCCCCTCCTCCTCCTCCTCCTCCCCCTCCTTCTCCTCCCCTTCCCCCCTCCCCCTCCTCCTCCTCCATGCTAGGCAGTTAGGAGAGCACCTCTTACAACTAAATACTCTAGTGCTGAGGAGAAGTTCAGCTCAGCGAGGGCTTTCCTCTCTGACAGACGGAAGGAGGACACTGGGCACTGAATTTGCCCAGGACAAAAGATAAGAAGATGGCCGGGGATTTAGCTCAATGGTTTCGCCGCCTGCCGCGCAAGCTCAAGGACCCGAGTTCGATCCCCAGTACCAAAAAAAAAAAAAAGATAAGAGGATTCCTCTGACCACTGGCCCAGCGCTGAGAGAATCTGTCTGCGGAAAGCTAATTCTTCCCAGCCCCATTTTAAAGATGAGCCTTTTCCACATGTTGAGTGGCCTCCTTCCTGGCAGGGCACATGCAGAGATAGGGGTCATGGAAAAGGAGAACATTTGCACTCCATACTGGGGGATTTCTGGGCTCCAGATCCTATGCTCACTTTCCATCTCCCACACAAAATCAGAATAAAAGCACAAAGAGAAAACAATGGATGTTTGAGCAATATTCAACCCATTTTTAATGACTGAATAAATTATTTCCACCACCAATGAGGTGTGTGGATTTCTTCTAACTGCCCAAAGGTGTCTCCAAATTGCAATGAAGTGTATCTCTCACATTTAGCACGCCAGCTCACCAACCATTATCTGCAAGTACCAAACATACATGTGAGCACACACATGACACACACAGACACCCCACACCACAACTGAGCAGTCTTCCAGTAAAATTTACACAAGGATGAAAAACTAATAAATGAATGAACTCTATTAATCCTCACTTAAATATAGTTTTTTTTAATATGGCTTTTTAAATGTTTAAAATAAATTGTTTTGTTCCCATTTATAATATGTGAACTCTCTAGTCTGAAACAAAACAGAATCCAGAGGGAAAGGCTCTGCAAAAAATAATTTGGCTTTGGCTTGAGTGCTGTTTGAGGCTAGGGCAGCAGAAGCAGCCTCAGCTCTTCTCCCTTCTCTCCCCTTTCCATCCACTGAGAACTCGATCCCAGCCTCAAAGAAACAGGGCCAAAGAACATCTCAAAGTAGCAAAACTGCTAAAGCCACACTCAGATCTCCCTTCATTTTATGCCACTTTAAGGACTCTTTTTCCAATAAGGTGTAGCGATACAAAGTGTGCTGGCACAGACTGTTTCAAATCGATTAAGGTATTAAGTAGAGGGAAAGAAACTACACCAGCCTCACAATGTGAATACAGGACATTGCCTAAATCCTGAGCTGCTTCTGTGAACAATGCTTCCACTTTGAGACACCCCAAGACTCCTAGTCCTCAAGTAGGAACACAATCAAACGTGTTCTAAACCACCTCTTGACTACACAGTTAAAAGATATCACAGTGTAATTTGAATATTAAAGCCTGCCATAAGTAGTTTCATTGTAGCCCCATGAACAAGCGTTCTTACCATTTGGGGATAAGGATGTTGGCTGCATTTTCCAAAATAAAATAAAATGCAATTTCCTAATAGAGGAAAAAACACAATTTGGCATTCTGAAAAAAGAAAAAAATAGGCATCCTCTCTCTCTAGCACAGGAGATAAAATATAAGAGCTTGTCCTATTGGACAGTGTCACAGAAGTGAAGTCTATGGCAGTTAGGGTGTATGAATCATAATCCCATGCTACCACACATGAACAACCAAGCATGGCATACCCCACACCTCCCAATGCCCCTCACGCCACGACCACCACACACTCACTTCACGCCTGCAGACTTCGCTTGTAGGGCGCTGCTCCAGAAATCATCAACGTTTTCTGGTTCTGAAAAAGCCTGAAGGCAGGCACTGAATGGTATCTTGGCACGCACCAGTTCAGGAAGGGGTCTTCTGTTTGCTTCTGCTTCTCTTCGTGTTAATTCATAGGCAATCAGTTCATCTGAGGAAAAAAGTACCTGAGTGACCTGGCAATTGCTCTTATCTACTTGAAATAAAAAACACTCTTTGGACAATCTTCCCTGAAGGTGTCTGGGCTGGGAGGCTCTCTCCTTGCCCTTCCCAGATCTGGATGTGCCTGCTAAAATGCTGTTCTTGGAGTCACCTTTGGAGTTGCATTGACAGCCTGCATCAGACCTTTTTTTTTCCTCTTCTCTTCCCCTTTGAGACTGACAGGAGCTAAATGTGAACTCAGTTCAGGTCACCTGTGTGAGGTCAATGGCACATGAACCTGGTGTTTCATTTGTCCAGAGGTCAAAGCTGGCATGACCCAAACCAGAGAACTTCCTAGCTGAAAAAGATCCACAGACTCACTGCTTACCAGGCCCTTCAAGGTCTTGCCAAGAAACTGAGTCCTATAGTCAAAATCAATCAATGATCAACAAATTTGAATATAAAATCATAACCGGTACCCCTCCACTATCTCCACTTTGTGATACCAGAAAAGGGTGTTAAACTGTATCAGATCAAATCTTGCCAATGATCAGACATACACATACACAAAAAAAACTAATAAAAATATTTCTGCTAATTTTAAACTATCCTAAAATAAAATGACAAATAGAAATGGAAAAAAAACAACTAAAAATAAAAAGAACTACAACTGAGCTCTTGGTAATGACCAGACCCAGTGTTACACATTTTCTGAATCAGTTCCACCAGCTACTGTGACCACTGGTCATGGTTCCAAGTGCTGTGGGACTAAGAAGCATGAATATGAGGACTGCAGCCACACACTATATCACAGCCCACAAAACAGCCAACACTGCAAGACAGCTTCTTGTGGAGGCTACCAGCATGTAAGGTATCACAGGGACCGATCTGGAAAGCTTCTCTGTACAATCCCTACTTAAATGATCAACTGTTAAAGGAAAAAGAAGTGCGTATGCCAGGAACCTCCCAAAAGGGGAGGAAACTAACTACAGTCAATTTTTTACATGTATTTTGAACAACCATTCCAGCCAATTCTTTTATACTACCAAAAAACAAACAAAAATGTATCAGTTTTTAAGCACATCAATGCAATTATGTATTTTCCTACATGCCTCTGAATAGCTTTTAAAATTCATTCCCTAATCCACAATCGGTTTATGATTTACTTATCTAAGATGCTAATATTAACTGTTCCTACCAAATTCCAAAGACTAAATTATAAATATCTTTTCTAAACAAAAAAGTTGCTATCCATAGTAAAAAACAGTGAGTTAAAGAGCACAGAACTGTAAATGTGGTTGGAATCACTTTTATCAAAGCCTAACCACAAAGGTAAATAAATAAAGCTAAGAAGCTATGAAGCGGATCTTATGCTTATGTCTAATAATAGGACTACCACAAAGGGCCTTCAGAACTACAACCTTGCACAAAGGTCACTGCAGTCTCATGCAAAAAATACTTCTATAAGGACAACTCTCCAGCAAATGTCTGTTCAGCTTTGAATTGATGCCACCCCTGTTATTGATCCTTGACACTTTTATGCCACCTAATCTTGAATGTTAACTTGACTATATTAAAGAGACTCCTGGAGAGGTAAATGGATAAGGGGGAGGGGCTGTGCTCAGTGTGGACTAACCTACTAGTGTCATAGTTGAATGCGCTCTTTGGAGGCGGGGCTTAATTGGTCACCAAGGCTGTACCTTTGGTATATCCCATACTGGGTGCTCTTCATCTGTGCTCTGATTCCTAATCACCATAAAATGAGCAGCTTTGCTCTACCATGCCCTTCTATCATGATATCCCTGCCTTGATGCCAGCAAAACAACATGGATTGAAACCTCTGGAACCAAGAGTCAAATTAAACCTCTCCTCCTTTAAATTGTGGGTGTTGGGATTTTGTTCCAGTAAAGGAAAAACTGCCCAATATGGAAAACTGATACCAGGAATGAGGTTGTTACTGTGACCTGACTATGTGGTTCAGAAGCCTGTGGAATTGGTTTGTGAGAGAAGCTTAGAAAGGTATAGAGCTGTGGGCTAGAGATACCGGAGGATTCTGTAAACAGAGTTTGACGGGCATATCTGGTAAAATCTCTGAAGATCAGAAAACCTTTCGGAATTTGGACAGTAAAGGCCAAGCTTATGAGGTTCCACAGTACTGAGGAAATGAGGACTGTATTGGGAACTGGACTAGGGGCCATGCAAGTTACATTTGCCTAGAGGCCATGCACATTACACTTTGGAAGGATTAAAAAAAAAATAAGAAAAACTAGGGTGGAGGGGGGGAAGGGAGGGCAGGGGAATGGGGAAAAAATAAGAACCAAGATACATCATGTAAAGGTACAAGATTCCAATGATGAATGTAACTGTATTGTATACCTAAAATGTATCAATAAACTTAATTAAAAAAAAAAAAAAAGAAAACCTATGTTTTGCCCAGGTCTCCAGAATTTGTGAGAGGCTGAATTTGAGGGCCACAGACTAACTGATCTGGTAGAGAAATTTTCAAGGCAGTCCAGTGTTCAGGTTTGTGGCATAGGTGCTGCTGGCTGCTTTTAGCCTTACTTATAGTGAGAACCAGGAACAAAAGCAGAGCAGAAAGATTTGAAAAACTTAAATTTTGGCCAGAAAAGAAACATGTAAAGCTGCGGCCCAAAGAGATGGGGTCACTGAAGAGACTGGTTCCTTTAAAAAGAAATCAAATATTTCCTACTGGATCAAGAAGAAAGATGCCCTGGAGGCCATCTCAGGAAGCAGGAAGACCCCACTCATTGCATGCTCACAGGTACAAAAGTATAAACCTTTCATTTGAAAAGAAAGCCTCTGAGCGCCCTGTTCCAGAAGGACTTGATTTCTCAGGATTCATTTTACCATGCTCAGTCATCTAAGCACTCAAAAGCCACTGCAGTTGTGGTCCAAGGGGCCTGGTTACAGCTCAAGTTGGCAGCAGGCCTTGGTGTTGTCCATATAATTCCGGTTCTATGGGCATGCAGAGTGCAAGAATTATGGGGTCATGGAGATTTCTACCTAGATTTAAAATGAAGGCCTGTGGACCCAGAAAATTTATGGCAGGGTCTTCAGAGTCCCTGCAGGAGCCCCTGAGATGACAATGCATGAAGCTATGGGAGTGTCTCAGAAGGTGCCCTGGAGACATTAGGAAGTTGGAGGTACCACGAACATGGAACCTCCACCAAGCAAAGTCGCAGGCAATGAACAGAGCCAGGCCGAGAGAGAAACCCTATGGGGTGCAATAGGCAAGGCCATAAGGATGTGGCTGCCCAGGACTTCCGCAACTTACATATCACTACTGTGTGCCTCAGACGCTGGACGTGGAACTACAGAATTTAATGTTTGCCCTGCTGGGTTTCAGTCTTGCTTTTTCCTTTCTATCCCCCATCCTCCCTTTGGGAATGAGAATGCTTAACTTGTACCACTGTATATTAGGAAAATATAATTTCCTTTTTTAAAAATTTTACAAGGGTTCATTGCCTTCAGTCTCAGAGGCTTTGTACTTCGACTTTTGAGCAGTGCTGGAACTGTGGAGACTTTGGGAAAAGGATCACTGCATTTTTAGTTGTACCCAGGATAGTTACCACATAATAGCCAGAATAATAACCTTGGTATTGTGGTTTTTTGCAAATTAAGTATGGTTTAAGAAGATGTAATTAATTAGGTGTCAAGTTGATCAGGTGTGGAATTTTCCCAGTCATTCTCAGTTGTCAACTAGACTAGACTGAGAGACTCCTGGAGAAGTGATGGCGTCATGGGAGAGCCATACTTATCACTGGATTAATTCACTAGTATTCATAGCTGAATGTGCTGTTAGGAGAAGGCGTCCACTTAGGAGCGGGTCATTGATGGCTTGCTTTTGGAGGGTCTATCTCTCACTGGCACTTGTCCCCTGTGTTCTCCTTCCCCACTTCCATGAAGTGAGCAGCTTTGCTCTGCCAGGCCCTTCCACCATGATGTTTCTGCTGTGGAGCCAGCTGAAGAGTATGGACTGAACCCTCTGCAACCATCAGCCAAATTAAACCTCTCTTCCTTTAAGTGATGGGTGCTGGGTATTTTATTCCACCAATGAGAAAGTTGGCCAATGCACACTTGTTATTAATCCTTGTATCCAAGGATTATTCATCAAAACAAGTAGTTCTCATTTGCCTTTAAAAACTTCATGCCTTACCTTCTTTGAATACCGTTAAGTTTATTTCTAGATGCCTCCCCTAAAGCCTCATGTGATCATAAGTGGGGCTTTTGAAGGGTGATTTGATTATAATTGACTTGCTATTAGGAACTGGAGTCTGATTGGAAGGGGTGAGTCACTGGGGACATTGCCTGGAAGGGTTTATCCCCCCTCCCAGCTCCTCCCTTCACTCTCTTTCTCTCCCTGCTTCCCCACCTCCAGCCCATGAACAGTGTCTCCTCTGCTACACCTCTGCGCCATCTTGCCTTGGAATCAGCCAACTATGGACTGAAATGTGAGCCAAAATAACTTTCCAGCATCAAATTGTGGGTGTAGGGTATTTTGTCCTATCAACAAGAAAAGCAACTAAGACAAATACATATGTAGTTTACTGCAGAATGCCCTTTGCAAAGCTACTCTCAAATAAATTTATCAATCTCCAGAGAATCTCTCACTGTGATTTAGGCTGATGGAAATGGGTAGACATGTAAATCAGTAACTCTGACAATTAACCTTAGTTCTAAAAATGAAACAAATCACATACTCTCCTTATTTCTATCTTTTATAATGGGTAAAAATTTGAAAACTGGTCAAAACCAATATGAGCATATAGAAGATGGAAATAATGTCATCATAACCATTGCTTTCCAATTAGCATCATAAATTGAGTTCCCACCAACAGAGGAAAAGAGGATAACCAAAGAAGCATTGAACTGTACAAAAATGACCAGTCTACAAGAGATGAGCAATCCAGCATCTAACTTATCTTTATCTGAGCTCATATATTAATTCTAAAAAATACCATTTGTCGGTCCTCCCTGGGAAGGACTAGATCAAACAACAGACCAAGAAGATACCATCCCCTGAGAACTCAACACAGCTGCCTCACCCCTCTCTGACTTCTTCTCCCTTCCAAGGTCCAGAAACCCTTCTAATGGGCTTCATTCCTACAGGGTGTCTTGCCACAACTTATCTCCCATGAGAGGCACCTTATATACCTGGATGCTAAAGCTGAATTATTTCAAAAGACATCTGCTTGAATGTCTAACATCAAGAAATGAAATGCTGATCATTTCCCTCCAACTTTATAGCACAATTTATGAATGAGGCTGAAGAATCTTCGGCATGTATCATTACCAATAATTTCCCCCAAAATTACACTGACTGCAATTCAATGACCTGGCCAAATTTATAGGCATTAAAGTAGTTTCAACCCATAAACCCAACATAAAACTTGCAAGTCGCATGAGAACTAAGAAAAAGATGAAAAGAGATGTGCAAACCAGGTATTTTCTCATCTCAGCTTGGTCCACTCCTGATTCCACCCTCCGAGGACTCAGCTCTATAATCTCCATGCAGGGTTTCCCACAAGAAGACATGTGTGACTGCTCCTGTGCTTTGGAACTGCTACCTTTGTTGGTTGCTGCCTCCATGGCCACAGGTAGCTGCATCAGGTAATCCACCCTCTCTGTGTAGCGGACTTTTCGGGTCTGGCAGCACTGAATACGTTCTTCCACCAAAAAACGAAAAACATCACTTGGGTTTTCTGAGCCAATGCGATTTCTCTGAAGGTTGGATTGTATTGAGTTAGTACATACAGTAATATTGCACCATGAATAAAAGCTAGTATAACATCAGCTATAAATGTAGTTTAAACAACTGGCTTTACTAAACATTTCCTTTGGACATGACAGTTCACCAATGCACTTTAAGAGCAAAACACTGAAATTTATCTAAAGTCCAAAACTGACAGTTTGGTTAAATAAATTTAGGGCCGGGGATTTAGCTCAGTGGTTCTGGCGCCTGCCTCGCAACCGCAAGGTCCTGAGTTCGATCCCCGGTACCAAAAAAAAAAAAAAATTTTAGTTCAACTGTGAAGCATTATTATGCAGTCAGTAAAAATCACAAGGAAAAGGACTGACATACAAGGAGTTAGAAGAAAGAAGGGAAAGGAGCCAAGTGAAAAAGAAAGGGGGAAAAAATTAGGATTGTCCTGGGAAGATTAAGGTGTGGATGATACAATGTATAAATGCCCTCATGTAGATTATATTCAAGTAAAAAAGAAATCATGCTATATTAGAATATGCAATGGTGTGGCAACAAGCTCATATCAAACTAGGGGAAATCACTGCTTTAAAACAACATACGGAGGAGTCACGTATAACCTGTGTATGTTAACCAGTAGTTCACAGGAGTTGCTATTATCAGGGGGTAGGGGTGCGATTTTCTCCTTTTCCACAAAGAATAGTCTTGTAATCAAGGGAGGAAAGTTGTTTTTATAAAGGGGAAAAAGTTTTACTCAGGAATTTTTAGGAAAATTTTTTAAATACAGTGTTTAATGTGATTTAACTTCATGATGAGCAAAGTGTGATCGTCTCCGAGGGGTAACGGGACACCATGGTGCTTTCAAAGGGCTTCATCCAGAGATGCAAAAAAACTAGCCAGTGAATTAACTGACAAGTGTTCCTACAGTGCCCACAGATTAAAAATACAGAGCAATCCACCAACATCTGGAACCCAGGGTGTGAGGAGCCATCCCATCAAGGGCACGGAGCAGAGAAAGCTGTCAGGAGCCCAGTGAGAGATCAGGTATGGGGTGGGGGGTGGAATCTGTTCAAGCAGAGAGGAGGAGGCCAGGGGCTGGCACCTCTCACTCCCTCTGCACTTTTCTGAAGACTTACCTCTACAAGATTCACCAAGTGCAAGAAAAACTCCTGGGCATCTTGTTGTCTGTTAGAGGAGAATTCTGGGTGGCTCTTGCTGACAAAAGCCTTAAACATACGTGGAGAGATCCCATTCTGTTGAGGCTAAAGTGTAAAGATAAAATAGAATTACAATACCCTCATATTCATTAACAGCCCCAAGTGGCAAGCAGAGAAGGGCTTACCATAAGCCTCATTTCTCAGAGGAAAGACTGAAGCCCCCCAAAAAAAGGTCCAGGAAGGGCCAACAGTCCCTGGAGATTTAGCATGTCCCAGGCACTGCACCATGAACAGGCTGGGACTCTTCCTGTGCACTCAAAGCTAAGCACAGTGGGGGAGAAATACTCCACTTTCTAAAGACAGGCATGAGACCCATCCTCACAGGACCTGCTACTCAGGGGCCAAACTGAACTGTCCCAACCCATGTCAGGGCCTACTAGAGACAGTTATGAAGGAGGGGCCAGGGGACAGGAGTTAAAGGAGAGGAGCACTCTGTAGCATCCTCTTGAGCTTCCCTAGGGTGCAGGATAAAACCCCTCAGAAAGGTGAAGGTGTTCACAAAACAGAGAAATGGCATCCCATGGCCCAGGAAGCCACTGCACACCTTCTCAAACTCCCAAGTTCCCCCTGCACTGTTTGTGGACAATGTAGAAGGAGCTGTGGGCAGCTTGCAGGGCTTCTGCCCCTCACCTGGAGAAGCAGGAAATGGGCTGAAGGTGCCAGAATGGCAGCACTGGAAGAGCAGGCAGCAGGGGCAACTCTGGCAAAACACGTTGCTGAATTTCCCTTGGGGACAAGGTAGTTCAGAATACCAGGTTCCCCTAAAAAGGACTCTGCACAAGCTGGTGGGCTGTCGGCCAGACTAGGAGGCCCAGGACAAGACCCAGAGTGGAGGGCTATAAAGGTCAGCAGATCAGGGCATCAGGAAAGATCCCTGTAAGGTCTCTGAGGCAGTAAGTGAGGTGGTGGGTCAGGGAGCATCTCTGAAGGACCACAAATGCGTCCCCACAAGAACACTGGCCGTGACATGAGTTACATGGTAGCCAAACAACAATGCAAAACAACTCTGTCTGCTTCTCTAATCTCCCCTCAACCCCAACTCTGGAAAAGTCAGGAGGAGAGAGAAGGAGGCAAAAAAGTGAAGCAAGTACAACAACAACAACAAATATATATTAAGCAAAGGCTAGAAAATATATAGACACTAGCTCTTCGGCACTGCTGTTCTCTAACTCTAGAGCTTGGTGGAAGGGAGACACTTTAAAATGCTTTCCATGTGAGGTGGACTTTTTAATACTGGCAATCTACAGGAAATGGCTGGAAATCTTTCCTGAGATGCACTGAAGCAGCAGAATGGGAAGATTCCACATCACTGTTGGTGACAGAGGTATACAGATGAGCACCTGACATAGCCATTTTCTGAGTGTCCTCCCCCACCCAACTTCAGCCCACTAGTAGCGGTGATACCCCTTACCTCATTAACACAATAACCCTAGGAACTAGGCACCATGTTGGTCTGCATTTAGGGAAATCAAGACCAGCAGAGAAGTGGCAGATCAGTCTTTCAACTCAAAATGGTCTTAAGGGCCAGAATGCCATGCAGCTTGCAAAGTAGAAACAGAGGGGACTCCAGGTTCAGTTCAGACTCCGGTTCCAGGCTGTTTGTAGTAAAATCAGAGACATGAGCCTTCCAGCCCATACCTGATTTCAGGGAAACAAGCCTCACATGAATGTGCACAGCCGAGCCAGAGGCAATTCCTGTCCTCTCTGCATACGGTGTGGCTGCTGCTTGCGTACTTTTGATAAAACCTCCATTTGCTCAGCTTGCAGGCTACTTTCTCCTCTTCTGACATCAATCTGGGCCATCATTTGGCTCATAGCACCAACTGCCTTCTACTTTCTTGGATTTTTCAACTTCCTCCTGATTCAGCTCCACAGCCTGACTGTGGTTCTTTGCAGGTACAGACTCATCTCATGCCTCTTTGAGTCATCATGGGCATCAGGTCAATGCCTATGCTCTGCAGTCCACCACAGGCCTGCAGAATTGCAGTCAGATGCAATGGATGCTTAGAAGGTCCTTTTATCTATCTCCCTGTAGCCGTAGGGCAGACCTATACATAACATCTCTCCAACGCACACGCCCTAGGCAATTACTTCTCATTTCAATCTGAGGGCTTTTCCTGCCTTGCTGAAAGTATATCTGGCTTAATCATCTAGAATTTACTAACCAGTATGCACAACACCACTTCCCTCTAGGAGTTTACACATGTGTATGAGTGACATATACACAAATCTATAATAAAAGTTAAGGAACACTACAGAGGATCAAAACAGTGCTAGAAGCCCTTACAGAACGCTCCAAAGTGGCATCACTGGGACATCTGAGGTCTTGGAAGCTGCCCATAACAGACCATAACATACATACACAGCTTTCTGTATACTTCCAGTGAGGCAGAAAGAGCTACCAAACATAATGGATAATTATTGTAAAATATTTATGAATGAACTCTGTGCTAAAACCTTTTTTGAAACTTGTGTGAAATTGTCCCTGCTTAAAAACTCTGGGTGGCAGGTCCCTAGTCACATGGAACACGCCGAATCAGCCCGCTGCAGATAGGCAGGTCTGCGGACACCCTATCAAGGTCCCGAGTCAGGCGGAACA